CAACACTCCGCTATGCAGTATGCAATCCCTGATTTCAAAGGTAGTATCCGCTAGTGAACAAGGTCATGTAAAATTAGGTTAAAAATAGAGTATTGAATTAAAAATTCAATTACATTATTCCAGCCAGATGTTCTGTGATAGCTTTCCACATTTAAATTGAAAAAGATAATCAACAAAAGTAATTCAAGAATAAGTCGATTTGAAAACACCATACGGCTTGCTTTTACAGTTGATCTTGCCATTGCCCGACCTTCACAATGTATGAGCGTATAATGTTTTAAATCTATATTGTTGTAAAGCGCATAGTCATGCCTGTCTACAATGACTCCAACGGCAAAATAGAATAGCACTGAATAACGGATAAAACAGATAGGAAAGAAAGACCATAATGTTGAGAAGATGTGAAAAGGTGGCGAGAGAACAAAACTGTGTGCAAATTATACGGAGGTTATTTGTTTGCACGGAAAACAAATTTCTAGTTTTGTTTCAGAAAATCATTTCCTCTTTTCATGCAAAAACTAATGGTTTTCAGGGTTACACTAATCAATATGGAGAGAGAAAGAGTGGGAGAGGTAGAAGGAACATGAGAGTCAGAAAGAGAGACATGGCGAGAGAGAGAGAGAGAGAGAGAGAGGAAGAGAAAGAGAGAGGGAGATAAAGAGAGAGAGAGAGAGAGAGAGAGACAGACAGACAGAAGGAGAACCCGAGAGAGAGAGAGAGGGATAGAGCATTATCTAGAGAGAGAGAAAGAGAGAACGAGAGAGAGAGGGAGAGAGGGAGAGAGAGAGAGCATGTGTACATTTGTTTTTAGACAAGACGCGTCTAATAATTGTCTTTTGGGGTCCTCTCTTTTGGAATCCCTTTAGTTGTAATAATTTGTTTTTTACTCTTGAGGAAGGTTCAATTATTAAGAATTTAAAGGTGTTTCATGTAATAGACAAGTAGGAGAGTCTTGGGAGAGAATAGATGAAGCAGGGATTTGTGATCACACGCCCCTGGATGAAGGCTCTCGGGTGATGACCCTGAAGTGTATTGAAGTTAAGAATTTGATTCAATTATATAGGGATAATGAGTTTTTTTTAACAGATAGGGCAGAAGCCACCAGTACATGATTGCGTATTGGATTCATTGTTGTCGTGACCCCTAAGGTACTAGACAACACTATGAACATGACTGACAATGAGAGCGGACAAAATATACAGTTCCTCAGGTAGACAAAGGAACATCCCTTACTGCTATTATGTAAAATGTGTAGAACAGGTGTCACATGCATATTCACCTTTTTACATAATAGCTGTGAAGGGATGTTCCTTTGTCTACCTGAGGAACTGTATATTTTGTCCGCTCTCATTGTCAGTCATGTTCATAGTGCAAATTAATGCAACAGGGAGTGAGTGGTCTCTTTGTGGGTGCTTGCCCTTGGATGCATTGACGGTTTGGAACTAATTGCAGTTGTATATGTTGGGATCCTCCCTATTGAAGTCCGTATTGTTGTTGTATTATTGTTTTATGACACTGAAATGTATGGAAGTTAAAGGTACTATGTCCCATTTGTAGGCCAAAAAAATGAAAAAGTTAAATTCCAACTGCATTTGAAAGATATTACTAATTTAGAACTTCCCTAAAAAAGGTGGGGCTTGAAAATGTCTTCAAGTGGGAAAATAATGACTATAAGTTGTCAAATCGACTTTAGGGCTATAGAGCCCAAAAGTAATAGTCTTGATTTTCAGACAATTGTACCGAATGGTCATACGTTTTATGCTGCGCAAAGATTCAATTAGTTTAATCTTGACCATCACAAGAAGTGGGTTACTGATGTAGACAAAATGCTCATGTACCCTTTACAACTCTTTTCATGTATGTTATTACCAAAGAAGAAAAAAAGCCAGTCAGTCACTCGATAGTGCCTGACAGTGAAGTCTAGCAAGCTACGGGTTTCCTTGCATATTTTGAATATGAGGACACTGCTAAAGTTTAAATTTCACAGATAGGACATACATGACATATTCATAATTCCTGCAAAGTTTTACAGAATTTGAGGTTGGCTGCAAAAGGGACATAGTACCTTTAAGGGTTTGATTCAATGATATTTGATATATGTGTATAGATCAATGAAAATCAATGAATAGTGTCAATTTTATTTCGGTAAATGTTAGAGGTTTAAGGGATAGGACTAAACGATTAGCTATTTGTAATTGGATTCAATCCAAAAGTAAGAAAGGGCCGGGTTGTAGTAATGTTGCAAGAAACGTACAGTACACCAGATATCGAATTGGCGTGGAGAAAGGATTGGGAAGGGCCAATGTACTTTTGTCATGGGCAGTATCAAAGGCAGTATCATGTAAAATTAGGTGAAAATAGAGTATTGAATAAAAAATTTCAATTACATTATTCCAGCCAGATGTTCTGTGATAGCTTTCCACATTTAAATTGAAAAAGACAATCAAAAAAGTAATTCAAGAATAAGTCGATTTGAAAACACCATACGGCTTGCTTTTGCAGTTGATCTTGCCATTGCCCGACCGTGCCTTTACAATGTATGAGCGTATAATGTTTTAAATCTATATTGTTGTAAAGCGCATAGTCATGCCTGTCTACAATGACTCCAACGTGCTCATACTAATGTTTTGTTCTACAGTAATAAGCTTTTGAAGGTTGAAGACATTTACTTTATACAGTTAGGCGCAATTATGTTGGAAAAAATAGACTCATTTGAATTATTCATTGTATTTAATTTCCTTGAATAGCGCCGTTGTCCTCCTCTTGTTTTTGGTCAGTATTCAAATCAAGATTATTTTCCATTTTTCGTTGTGGCATCGTTGAGATGATGTCGCACCTAGGAACCAGAAAGTCTTGAGCATAGGCGCCAGAATTAGGGGGCAGGGGGGGGGGGTGGCAAAACGCATTTTTGCCCCCCCCCCCCCCCCCCCAAAAAAAAATAGGAATTAAATTTCCTAAACATTGCACATATGCCGCCACCTATATTTATCAATGGAGGATTTTTTATATTATAGCGATACGCGCATATCGTGGACATACCATGAGAGAATGGGAAAGCGTGTCTGTTTTTTTGTTGTTGTTATAGGGGTGAGAAGACATGAGCCCCTGAACGCTGGCGTACTGATGGGGAGGGGGGCATTTCTTATTCGATACCACTGATTTACAAATGTTGCTGAATGACATAATTTTCCGGTATTTTTTTCATACCTTTTCATGCGTTTGTTGAAAATTAAATATTCCCAAATTTACAGTCGGGCGAAAAAATATGCTTATTTAGAAGCCTTTATGTCATGGTCTGCAAAACGACTGGGCTCGGGGGTTCGAGGCCCCGTCACTTTTTGAAAAAGTATGTTACAGAGAAAAAGAAAGAAAGAGAGAGAGAAAAAAGAAGTGACCTGCCAATGTCACAAATGAGGTATCAAAATATGCTCATCTGACCGTAATTAAATAGCTAAAACCCCAGAGCTTATATGGAGGCTCTGCCCCCGGACCTCACCAAGGTCCCTAGCTAGATATGGCGCTTCCCTGAATACTCATCTGACCGTAATTAAATACTTAACCCCCCCCCCCCCGTGCTTCCGGGGGCTCTGCCCCCTGGAACCCCACCAAGAGCCCTATAAGGCGGGCCCCTGGATGCTCATCTTATACCGTAATTAAATACCTAACACCACTGAACTTCCAGGGGCCCTGCCCCCTGGACTCCCCGCCAATTAGTGACCTGCCAGTGTCACAAATAAGGTATCTTAATATGCTTATTATGACCGTAATTTAATGCCTAAAAACCCTGAGCTTCCGGGGGCTCATGCCCTGGACCCCACGCCAATTAATTTACGCTCTACCTGATAGTTAATACTCCACTTCGAAAAACATTCCGCCGGGCCTGCATGTAACGTGTAAGACTAGTGGGGATGCAGATTTTTCTTCTGCCCTCCTCCTTCCAAACGTTTTTGCTCATTGTACGCCACTGCCCCTGGAAGGTGAGCCCCCTGGAATGTTTCAGCCCCCTCCCCCCAATCCCAAACTGCTTCCGTACCTTTAAAACAAGGCCGAGTGAATGAAAGGGAGATATGTGCTCTGTATGTGCTAGAGATCTGAGGTAGTAGTGAGAAAGGAAAGGAAGATATAGATAATAAAGAAAGAAGACAAGAGAGCATTTAAATGGAAAGATGATCGAGTGAGGGGAAATGGAAGTTGAGACAGATTAGGCCATGTAAAAAAATATACATGTTTAGCGTCCCCGCCCGCTTCCTTTTTGGGGGCCGCCTCGTATTTGTTTGATTTTTTTTTTAATGAATTTCTTAAAGAAAAAAACATGAAAAACACTGCTAAAATGGATCTATTTCTGATTAAAAAAAAAAAAAAAAAAAAAATGTCGGTGGCCATCTTGAAAAATAGCCCGACTGTCACGGAAAATGTACCGAGCGGCCATTTTGAAGAAAAAAAAGGGCCTCCTCCTTCCTATTTTTCGAAAAAACAGGACGCTAAACATGTTTTTTTTTTTTTTTTTGGCCTTATCGATTGAGGGCCCCCATGTAAAGTGATATTGAGAAAAAACAAATGAAGAAAGGAGACTTTTAAAATCTCTATCAAATTCCTTTCGTTTTTGTCACCACACAATATTTATCATGGCACTGAAAGTTGGTTGGATGGTTTATTTCCCGATAATAATAATGATAATAATATTAGTGATGATAATTATAATTATATTATTGTTGATGATGATGATGATATCAAATATGGTGATGATGATGATATTGATGATAAATTAATCATTACACACGTTTTTCATTTAAAAATTCATACAGCTACTTGAGGTACCCGAGTCTAAATTCCACCTGTGTCAGCTTTGGTCAGACCAGGGTAGATCGAGATACTGTATTTTTAACCATGAAAAAATTCATGTCACAAGAAACTTTGGCCAAAGTTCCAAAAATGTTGTCAGCGTAGATTATGGTGTAGATTAAGGTGTCCAGACGCTTTATTGATTATGTCTGCACAATAGCACAGCGCAACCCATGCAACATGCTGTTAATAAGCCTACCATTTCTAGTGCATTATGTGGTAACGAAACCAACTCGCCGAAATACGGTAAGTTTGAGTACTTCCAAATGTAAGATTTTGCTTTTATATGGCTGATAAATACTGCATATTTGATTTCAAATGTTTCACAAATTGACTTTCAATTTGAGGCTTAAAATGAGTGTAATTTTAATGTTAAAATGGGCAAAGAGTTCAATTCAGTCCCATTTGTTGAAAAATGTGTCTGCATCATGACTTCATGACCATGTCTCATAATTTATGTAGATCTAGGCCTAGATCTCGGCCTAAATTGTATTAAAGCTCATCCTTCTCCTGGGGGTCGTTTGAAGAAACTAACCCCTTGACAGTCATACCTTTGTCCGCGACCTATAGAGATGTCAGGAAGCGGACATCCTTTTTCACAAAACCATGTCCATGATGATCATGATGATGATTGTCTGATTGATGAGCGTCAAAATCATCATGATTAGCCTTAAGGGCTCTCTCGAAATGTTTTTTAATGATCTCGAATAATATCATTAAAAAACATTTCGAGAGAGCCCTTAAGGCTAATCATGATCATGTTTTCGATACCGATAAGGCGATAGATATAGAGTCATGATTGATTGGTTGTTGATAGCACACATGGGTGCATTACTTTCCTGGCCGTGTATTAAAAGCTGTGCTTTTGATTCTCAACATTTCAAACACCACTGTACAAAACTCAACTAATTTAACTCAAAATCGGTACTTTACTCTTTACTTTAGTGACAATTGATGACACCTAACTAAATAAATAGCAGTAAAATACAAATTTTTGGAGCTTTCAGATGTTAGAAAGAATAATTAAAAATTCAATTATGAGTCTACAGTCAACTTTGCCGATCAGTCGCATCGGCATGATTGTGTGCATTTGCGTGTTGTGAGTGTATTGACTATTTCATGTATGCAAATGCTGCCTATTAACACGTAGTGCAGTGCTAGAAGTCAATACGCATTACCATTGACTCTCTATGCTTTGCTGGAGTGGTAATTTGATAGACGATCACTTGTTGTGATGCATGATACCTTCGACTATCGTCATGATCGTCACTAAAAAAATATAGTCTTTGAACTTTGAGTTTGTCATAATCCATCAGATTTTATTGTGATTTTTACCCAAAGAGATTATGAAGCTTAATTTCGCTCAAACTGTTTGAAAAAGTTTAAAAAAAGAAAATGGCAGCACAAATGATACAAACATCCAATTTGCACATACACATGTGTTAAGTTATTATAAATAATGACATCTAACAATTTATAAACGATGAAGCTCAAGTAACCCTGTAAGTTGGGGCTCTGATCGGATCGGAAGATCGGAGCGACACCCTCGCACCTTTGATCGGTATCGGATCGGAAGATCGACCAAAAAAATCAGCTGATTTTTTTTTTTTTTTTTTTTTTTTAATGACGAAAAAAAGAAAGTTTTTGGCTATCAAATGCTCAAAAAAAATTCATGGCTGGGATGATTTTGTCATTTGGAGTTGTTGTAGACCATGTTTGTTGATATTTAGTGCCTTTTCATTGATCGGCGTTCGTAAATTATTATCCGATCACCCCTTATCGGCTCAAGATCGGCCCCCCAATCCGATCATCTGTTACAGGCCTAAGCTCAAGGTTGTTTGGCAACATGACTCGAGGGCCCTAGTTCACACATGAATATTTTGTTGTTGGTTGTTGGACTTATTAAATGTTTTGAGCTTTTTATACAAACTATAGTAGACTCTAGTGTAAATTACTTTTCTTTTCTTTTCTTTTTATTTTGTTTACTTCTTATATCAAATCATCTAAACTCCAGGATGCTGATACTGAGTATCACAGACATTGATCTTGATTCCCCCTGCACTGAGGGACTTCAGTCTGCTGAAAGTGATGAATAACTCTTGAGCCGAGGATTGTCATTGTTCTTTTCCTTGGCCTGGCTGTACAAGCTATTGCTAGAGATTGGAGCTTGGGAAATTGAAACTTCAAGGAGACTGATCAGCTTACCATACATAATGTCAAAAGCAAGGTTTGTCACGTGTAGAACACTTCAATTTGAGCGAATGATAAAAATATGAACAGTAAACTTATTAAAGAGAAGGTTGCGAGTTCTGAGAAGACGTGAAAAATAATATGTGAGCATTATTATGCAAGTGTGGAAGAACATCAGATGCAAAATGTTCCCTGAAAAGCATGGCTCTCCAAATGCTTTCATATTCTAAATACGGCATTTAGCAACATAAAAATTGGGACAGATTTTTATGCAACATGTTCGTGTAGCCCCATATACTTATTTCTGTGTACAGTGCTTGTAACTTTACCAAGACTGGGCCAAATTTCTTATCATTTTGATGATCTTCTAGAACCTTGCAGTGCACATCAATACTTATATGCCAGATGATCAACCTATTTTGATCGATTCCACACCGTTTCTTTCACAATGCAATTGCATGACCAGAACTCAACTTTATATTTAAGAAACCAGTTTCATAGCTCTCTTTGTTAATAGCATCTTCAACTACTTTTCAGTTACTTTTCCAATCATAGCATATTTTCTATTTTGAATCATAAATCTTCGGGAATAAAAAAATTGAGACAGTTTGAGAAGAAAAATGCTACCACATAAAACCCTCTGTATCAATCATAAACTTGCCCAGTAATAAAATTATGAAAGAGAATCGTGAGCGATTCAGCTCTCGAAAGCTCAAAAATACCTCTGGTTAAAAAAACACAACAAAGTACTTCAACAGGAGCATGAGAAAATTGCACTTATACAACACCAAATCCTAAAAGAGCTCCAGCAGACTGAAAATTATTTTTATACTAGAATTGCCTTTCATGTCTGACTTTCAAACTTTTAGTACCTAGTATTATGTTGCTATACTTTTGTTATGTGATCTAGTTTGCATTTTTGTTGTGAAGATGAACAATTGAGTTAAATGGCTGAAAGACAGAGTTTTCAATAATTATGCCATTGTTATTACCGGTATTATAATTACCCCGGTACATTCAAACCTGTTTTTAGCAACCACCTCCATAGAAGGACTACCTATCTACAGAGACCTCATTTTTTTTGTTTCCCTTGAAATTGGTTTATCAATGAAATGTGTACTACAGGAACCTGTACAAAGAGACCACCTGCCTATAAAGACCACTTCTCTTATCTACCTGGAGTAGTCTTTATATACAGGTTTCAGTGTATACACAAATGTCATCAAATGTTCTGTATCCATGTTTTTCTTTTTGTATACAGGTACCCGATTTATCTCCTAGGCAACCCACAGAACAGGGTTTTCTTTACAGATTTCTGTTTGAAGCTGGTGAAGAATAAGAAGCCTCAACCGCCCAACGTTGTTACATTTGAATGTGACCCCCAGTGAGTAGAATTATTGTTTGTATCTTTTATCTGAATTTAGGGGTTCTATTTAGGTGGCTCATAGGGGAAAGTCCACCCTGAGGCAAAGATGTCTTTATTAGAAGCAAGAAAAAGAGGGTACATGTCAGTGAAAATTTGAGCAAAAACCGATAACAATTAAAAAAGTTATGAATTTTTGAAGTGCGTTTAATCAAACTAAAATTGCAAGGTATCCTCCCATTTGCCCTGTACTATTAAAAATAAGATTAAAATTCTATATGTCCCATTTGCAGGCCAACAAAATGAAAAGGTTAAATTCCAACTGCATTTGAAAGACAATACTAATTTAGAACTTCCCTCAAAACAAAAGGGCTTGAAAATGGTTTTTAATGGGAAAATAACGACCATTAGTTGTCAAATCGTCTTAAGTGACAGCCTAACCTTCTCTTTTATGTTTGATTGTCGTTACATTCAGGATGACTAAGTTTGACGTCAAGAACTACCTGGAGAATGTTTATAAGGTTCCCGTGGCCAGGGTGAACACCAGTGTGATCTACGTACCGTTCAAGAGGAACCATAAAAACCAGAGGGTCAAACTCAAAGAGGACTACAAGCTTGCTTACGTCACATTGGTGAGTAAAGCCTCGTAGTCATTCATATATGTTTTGGAACTGCTGAAATGTGCACTGAATGCCAAGTTGGAGGTTAAAAAGAAACAAATGTGAATGCAGCAAAAATGTGGACGCTGTGATCTGTGTGTTGTGATATAAATTGCTGAAAAGAAAAAAAACAGCAACGGACGTGAAATACATGTACCGTATATTCATTTGAATGCAAACTTGGTTCGTCGGTCGGTTGATCTGTATGTTATGTTATGAAGATTTTGTATATGTACTTTATGTATGTGATTTTATTTTGTTGCAGCAATGCTTTGATCGTTGTTAAATTTGGCATGTGTGAACTAGGCCGAACTCGTCGGTCGATCGGAAATCTTCTTCTTTTTTTAAACTCTTTTTTTTCTCTCCCTCTTTGTGCTAATATTACTCAGTTTTGGATGTTTTAATCTTTTTTTTTAACGCCTAATAATGGGACAGAAAATTATACTGCAGTACTACTGACAGAATATCATTACTCCTGAAAACTTAAGCAACAAAATTCTTGTCAATTTGTCATTATTTTTGTGTGTGACATGTTTAAATGGTGCCTGCTCAGTCATCACCAGTGAATTTAGATATCAATATACATTGCCATGTACATTATAAAATGCATGTTACAAGCACTTTCAAACATTGACTCCTTTATTACAAGATTTGAATGTTTTTAAAAATTGAATGGAATTCAACTTTGTCCCCATTATTATATACCGGTACACATTTTAATTTCAGTTTGTACATGTAAGATACCAACCTACACTTGCTACTCTCCACCCAGGTATTAAAATGGGTACCCTGTAGGATGCGACAATCATTGTTGGTCAAACAGGTTTTGAGCGTCAAGTAACGCCTGGCTGGAATGCTACCCAGGGAGTGCTTAGAGAGGTCCGAGATATAAAAGCTGCATTATTAAAAGCTGAATATTATTATTTATATTATTATTATTATGCACCTCTTTCTCTTTTCTTATTGTATTCGAACAGGCTGAGGGCCAGACATTTGAGTTCCCTGACCTCTTCCCAGATACCGAGGAGAAGAAGAACGAAGAAATGGCGGATGAATTGAAGGAGAAGGAGGAGAAGGTTTCTAAAAGATTTGTATCGAGGGGAGGAGTACCTAGCTGGTTTGGCTTATGATAGATAGAACGAGTGACGATAGAACAATATACAATGAAACCTGTCTATAAAGACCGTTCCTTTAGTACATGTTTCAATGAAAAACAATTTTCAAGGGAAACAAAAAATGTGGTCCTTATAGACAGGTGGTCTTTGTAGACAGGAAAGAGTTGTGATTGACAGAACGAATGAGGATAGACGAAGCGAGTGATCTCATCATGAAGGGCAGACGTTTGGTCGACAGTGGTTCTGCAGCAATTGGATATTTTTGGCCGTCAGTGGGAAGACAGTTCCTTTGATAAAGACCGTCTCCAAGCTGAGGATTGGCAAAGCAACTGTAGCGGATAGTGTTGCCATGATGTTCAATCCATTTGCTGTCATTGTTATGAATACGAGAATGTTTGGGAGATTGCTACAAACTTTATTTACTCGGACAGAATTGAAGATTATGATCCTATTCAGACTGTCATAAAAGCTATACTGATCTGTCATTTTTAATAAAGAGAAGTGGAGAGATCTGAGAAGAATCATGAAGTATGTGTGCTCTATGTTGTGAAAACTTCTCGATATGAAGAAATTAAATTCAAAAGGAGCTAAATCCATTGTTGTAACTCGAGAGAAAAAAGATTGGCTACCAGACTTTGTACAGGCGTCTATAGAAAAGTGAAAGAAGATGCATTTTTTCATAATTACTCCCAAAGTTTATCGAAATACTTTTGTTGAAAGATGAGTACCGATTAAACAACGTTCTGATATCAATAACTCAGTTTTCATTAAAAGTGGATTTAGCTCCTTTTGGAATTAAACTCTTCATATGTACATTTAAGTACTGCGTCAGCGATTTCTTTTCAATCAGAGGTGGGGGGAGGGGGGGGGGGAATATAGGATGATTTATTAACCCATTAGCAACTAGAGATTTTGTAAAATGGCCTATTGCTCAATCTGAACAATATGAAACGCTATTTTTCTATGCAGAATCCTACTGAAGACATTGCAAGGATTACACATGTATAACATTATAACGGTAGACCCTAGAATGGAGACTATAGCGTGTTGAAAACGGACAAGCGGTTATGGGCGGTTCAGTGAGTAAAAGGAGGGGCAGTTTAATTGCTATTGGGTCAAGATTTTGTTTCCAGGTTGCATGTATTGAATAAGTGGCGATAAAAAGATATGGACAACAGTGAAACTTCTATACAGGGCGTATCATAATAAAGGATATTGAAGTTTAATGACGATTTATATGAAAACTACTGATTTCATAATCAAGCATTTTATGTCTGTTGTAAAGGACAGAATGTCCTCTTTTTAATGACATCCCGATCATACTACTACTGTCACAGTTGACTGAATAACAAAGCATTGCTGTCCACCATGTGAAAGGTGCACTGTGCCAAGTTTGATAACATTTCCTTCTTAGACACATAATCCACTCATTGTTCAGCATTTCAATATGTCTGGGCTGACACAAGCACTAATCTTTATAATTTATCTGTGAATGCTAACTTGTCACAGTGCACCTTTCACATGGTGGACAGCAATGCTTTGTTATTCAGTCAACTGTGACAGTAGTAGTATGATCGGGGTGTCATTAAAAGAGGACATTCTGTCCTTTACAACAGACATAAAATGCTTGATTATAAATTAGTAGTTTTCATATAAATCGTCATTAAACTTCAATATCCTTTATTATGATACGCCCTGTATAGTGAACACTCAAGAGAGACCGGATACACAGCCTTTATAGGTAGGTTGTGTTTATGTGCAGGTTTTAAAGCTTTAAGTGAGAAACCCTTTACAAGGAAAACAGAAAATGTGGTCTCCATTGTCTTCATAAATAAAAAAAAAATCTATACACACGGATCACTAAGCAGGGTTTTAAAAGAGAAGTTTGAAAATTGATACAGTACATGTAACTTCAGTTATATGTATTTGTAAATTCAGTTATCTTGACATTTTTGTAAGCACGACACCCTAACCACCTTTCACTCTCTCCCTACATTGTACTCTTCCTTTCTACTTTGTATTTGTGTGTTTTTCTCCATTTCTCTTTGTCTCTCCCTCTTCCTTCAATCCTCTTTGTCTCTCCCCTCCCCCTTTTTTCTCTCTCTCTCTTTCTCTGTTGCTATGTGTTCTACTAGAATTATCTTTCACCGCTGTCGTTTCAATATGTTCATCACAAATAAATCACAGGTTTAGCAAAATACATTTCCTCGGGACAAATTTTTTCCATCAAGATTCAAAACCTATATTTTTTCTTTATCAAACTTCAAACTCCATTCATACAGCAGACTCACGAACAGATTGAACAAAGGCTCTGAAGTTATTACAAGATATAATACAGCATTTAATACATTATTCACAAGCCTCACAGACTTTTCAATGATACAGAAAACTTATTCCGATGCGGGATTATGGATACAAAACAAACATCTTCCAAAAGGCTTCTTCAAAGATACATTACAAGCCCTTTCATTTAGGCATTGGAATATCATTTTTTGTTTAAAACAAAAGAAAGGAGTGTTAAAAGCATTCATCCACGACTTTCAAACGTAGTATTCTAAGACCATGTGGAACACAATTCTAAGATAAAGTTGAATTCTGGTCATGTGAATCCATTGTGAAAGAAACGGGAAGGAATTTGGAAAGGTTGATTTTATAGCACACAACAATTGGGGTATTGAATGAAAGTTGCATGCACACAAATTGGACTACACAAACATGTGGGCATGAAAGTTTGGTGTAAACACTTCAAATTTCTCTCATCATTTTTCATTTGTTTCCTGGCATTACACTTTGGTGATTCTGAAGCACTCGCAATCTTTGCAAACGTGTGATGCATGCAAAGTTTCTGGTTTTAAGAACTGATTTTTAATGTTTCATGTGACTCCTTGTGGTGCTATACAAAAATTGTTAGATTTCTTCTAAACAGGGATACTCAAAGTCCATGTACACATATTACGTGCTTAAGCAATCATAAACAATTCATATTTTCATTTAAAACAAGAATAATCATGATTCTGTACAATAGAAAATCTACTATTCCCCTAAATTTTGATAGAAGAGTTAGTCAAACTAAAGGTATGCTGTCTATAATAAACTTGTAATGAAAAATAAATGTTGATCATGAGACATTCTCCATTACTTTGGAAATGATTGTTTTAAAATAAATAAAGTGGGGCCTTACGATCTGTGGGTATTTTAGGTCTGATTGGGCATGTGAACTCCATATTGGTTTTCAGACCAGAAAGGTGTCTATTATTCGTAGGGAAGAATTTGTAATCTTTAAATTGGCAACACTGAAACGTTGTATTTTCTACAACTGCATTATTGAGAGACAGACTTTTTGGCTCTTGGCAGACAATATGTATTTGTTTAGCTTCAGTTTTATAGATACTTTGTATTTAATTTGAATTACATAAATGAATATAAAACATCAATGTTGCCAAATTCAAAGGGGAGAAGCTGATATACTTCAGCCTTGACAGATATTTCTTTGTCCTTGACGCATGCTTTGGAGGTCTACTAGAAGATCAAGGTTCGGCTGGAAACAAGTGGATCCTCCGGTCGCCCCCGACAGCACAGATGGGTAAGAAAGCATGCCATGATAGACCGCCTAGGACTGGTAGACTCTCAGTGACTGGGACCTGGTAATAATAATAATAATAATATGTCTTGTTTACCCAGGGTCACCTCATACTGTTCTCCCTGAGGGCCCTACAATCATATCATGAGATAAAACAATACTTATGAAGCAAAGATTGGTCTAAATTTCTATGATTAGAAAAGATTTGCGCCCTGTATGGAGTCAACAGACCAATTTGACCTTCCCCCCCCCCCCCCCCCCCCCCCTCCCCCAACAAAAAACAATATATGTTTTGCATCTAGCATAGTTTGGCCACAAATATAATGATTAAACTTGAGAGAAAAATTCGACTTGTGCGACTGAATTATACAGAGTTGAATGTATGTACCCAGGCGCGTACGCAGGGGGGGGAATTGAACCCCCCCTTTGGTATTTTTTTATGTGTGTATTTTGGAGGAAAACCACCCCCCTTTGGTAATTTTTTTTTTTTTCCTAATAATTTTTTTTTTTTTAAATTAAAAAAAAATTATACCAATAGCTGAAAAAAAAAAGTTGACCTTACCTCCCAAAATGTCAAATTTTCAAATTTTGAGACCAAAAAAAAAGAAAAAGAAAAGTGTCCTCCCCCCCCCCCCCCCCCCCCCCCCCCCCCCCCCCCGATCGGCCCGATTTAAAAATGTTAAAACCTCTTCCTTGAAGAAATCCTGCAGACGGCCTGTATGTACCTATTTTTTTCTAACCAGAGCCCTTGTAGATCTTATCAGAGCTATATCACTCTCGCCTTCTGTAGATTTCTGATCCCTTATACTCTTGTTCTTCGTTTATTTGATGTTTGTTTATTTTCCCACCACATTATGACCGCGGTAGACAAAGTACATGTTTCTTTTTAATCTTTGCTATATACATACACATGTTGATTGTATTTCTTTGTTTTCAAACAAATGTGGAAATAAATAATTGAATGGAAATAGATTGAATTGGGTAACTAGCTTAAAGCCCCACTGCACTTCTTATAGCTACTTGCGCCCTCTATACAGCCAACAATGCCTAAGCGTTACCTGTTGATCCCCCATGATGCCCTTTTCCTTATGTTAATTGAGAGCTGATTTGATGAGATAACTACCTGTAAGTGACCTTGCAGGGAGGTCTGATCCCCCCTGGCCAAACTAGATGGGCTTTAAGAATTCTGATTACCCACCTGATGGTGTCCTAGGTGATAGACCTTGGCTTCATTGTTGGGACGCCCTGTAGTAGCAAACAGGTTCTCACTTGATCTGCACCATCTAAACTCCTTGCCCCATTCACCATGAGCTAGCTCAGAATCCTGTGCTTGACTGTGAGTGTAACACGGTAAAACACACAAATTCAATAAAAAATTCTGTAAATGTACAATCTTTAAATATTTCATGAGTACTACCCGTTATCATTGGTAAACAGTCGATAATGATTTCAAGTCCAATTATTTTGAAAGGCAAATACAATTACCAGAACTGCAATATTAATTTAGCATGAATTGCAGTCAAACCAGTTTTGTAGACAGAAGATCAATGCAAGAACCTCTCGCCTCCCATTTATACTTTGAGGATGATTGTGAATGACCTTGACCTGGTGATATCCCAGACCAAGCATTCCCCGCTGACGATGGCCCCAACCCTTGAAGGATCGCAGAGGCCGTGCAAAAAAGTGTTCTATATTGCATGCTCTTGCACTTGCATGTGTAACAAAATGTTGAGTGTCACGTGATAGCTTCTCACCCAACAAGATCAAATATCCTATTTTATTAAGTCAAAATAAAAAAGCGACTACCTGTATAGAAAGACCAACTGTCTACAGAGACTACATTTTTTGTTTCCCTTGAAAATAGTTTCTCATTGAAACATGCACTAAAGGAACCTGTCTACAAAGACCACTTTTTGTGTTTCCCTTGGGCGGTCTTTATAAACAGGTTTCGCTGGATAATAGATTGTATACATGTAGTTATTGTGAGGATGATTTAGAATTACCTTGATCTGGTGATGTCCCACACCATCCATTCCCCACTGACGATAGCCCCAACCCTGGTAGGATCACAGAGGCTCCAGTCTGCACACATAAGACCTGGTCTACCGGTCTCTAGCGACATGAACGGTTGCTCACTGACTAGGTCATAGAAACGCAGAGTTCCACCCTTCTCTGCAACCATTAGCTGTAGTGGATTGCAAAGATGAAGTCAGGTTAGATAAGAGTATTCTAATATGAAATAGGTCAGAATCTTGATAAACAATTTACTTGGAAGTGTTAACTTCTTTAATAGGAGGTTGCTATGAATTTTCGAGAGTACAGAAAAGGATCAATTCAATTTAGAGAATCAAATATTTCTTTACTATAGCATAAAGATATCAAGTTGTTTTCAAAATTCCACAGGAGCCTCACTCTGATGCCAGCTGTATGTTGAAAACTCTTCAATATGTTTCTATCTAATGTTATTTATGTCATCATTTTCAAATATATATTTGGAAAATGAAGACATGAAGATATAAGGGTAAGCAAAAATGCTTTTCATCGTAATCGCAGTGAAAAGAATAAGTTACTAAAAATATATTCCCACAAATATGTACCATGATTAGTTCAACCATATTCTATTAGGAATCAGACAGAGATGTAGAGGTGCCGTGGTCTAGTGAATGTATGTCACCCTACCATGGATCTCCTAGCTCGCAGTTTGAGTCCTGCCACGACACTAATGTCCTCTGACAAGATAATATCTACGTTTACAACTCTCCAGTCTCCAGTCTCCACCCTCCACCCTCCACCCAGATGAAGTAAATGGGAGCCCAAGAGAAAGAAAGTAATTGAATGCTTCAGCGCCTTATAATGGCAGCTCTGCTACAGCAGGGGTAACAATGTGTTACTTTGTATTAAGTGCAGTAATAATAATAATAATAATGATATTCAATTCTTGTACAGCACATAAGACGTTATGAAACAACATCTCTATGCGCTTCCAAAAAGCTTTGGAAATTATTACCCTAGCTTTAGCTCCAGCAGCTGTTATCAGCACACAGTGCATTTCAAGAGTATATTTGTATAGTAGCTGTGCTATATATATTAAGAATGGATGCATTATTATTATAATCAAATATTCTCTAAAAACGAACAGCACCTGCTTAAACAAGTTAAACTGTACCTTATTAGGATCACTCTGATTCCAGCAGACAGACATGCCAGCCGACTTGAGAGGAAACATCGCCTTCTGTCGACCATCGAGACCCCAGAGCCTACATGTGTGATCGTCACTCACGCTCGCTATCACTTCTCCTTTGACAGGTTCAAAGGTCAGGGAGTTGATGAAGTCCTGGTGACCCTTAATGACCTGGTGAAAAGTACAGATTAAATAGCTCTTTGAATGATAGAAATGATAAACATTTCTTCTACAGTGGAGTACCACTTACAATGTAATAGACCATTTTCAAAATGTAACCAAATATAATGCATACGTCTTTGATTATTCTACAAGGGCTTTGATCAGGGCCCTATTTTAAAAAACTTGTTAAAAATAACAAGTTACCATGCTTAGTTACTGTAATTAGTGAATGTTATTGGCTGTGAGCAAATTACACAAAAGTAAACCTTCTTATAGATAAAAAGTTTTATAAAGCACTACCCCAATATCAAGTCACAAGGAAAATGACATATGAGTAAAGGTGATTTTTGTTTTAATAGTTAAAGCTTAGTTTTCGCTATTATAGGTAGCTTATGGAACACCAAATGACCAAATACATTGGACTTGCCAGATAGTAGTGAACAATTAAATGTATGAAATCAAAAGAGTTTTCCCTATTAAAATTCATAAGATGGAGAATGGATAGTCAAGATAGTAAGACAAGTATTTTTCAGCTAATGTAGTTACCAGAAAGTTTGTATTACTTTATTTTTTAACATTTTATGATAAGTGAGAAAAGAAATCCCAACTCTTCAAGACGTGAGAAATATTACCTGAACAGTGTCCTGATCTTTAAGGTCCGATGTGAATATCCTGATCTTATGGTCTACACCAGCTGTGCAGAATCTGTGAGAGAAGTAATAATAATAATTATAGCTAGTTCTTACATGTACATTATACTTTTCAGGACCCTCTCAAGGCCCTCTCAAGGCACTTTACAGACTTACCCACTTACAATGTATGCAATTCTCCACTCCCTTGGGAGCTTTTCAGCCAGGCGTAATTTTACAAGCGCACACTTGCTAATCTAAGCATATTAGGTTTTGTATCCTACCGGGTACCCATTTAACACCTGGGTGGAGAGTGGCAAAGGACATTAGTGTCGTGGTGGACTTGAACCGCAGACCTTGTGATCCACAGTCTGGTGACATATCCACTCGTCCACGACACCTCTACAAGTAAGACAAGGGACAACATTTTACATTGACAAGGTTACAATTCCTCTTTTTCAGTTTATAATTGTCAGCTAAAAAGAACATAACATGAGAATTACTACCGTTATCCAAATTCTATATTTTACAGGAAATTGCCTTCAAAGATTGAGCAATGATGACTGAAGTAGTATTAACACCAGCATTTAATTTCGACGTCAAAGTCAAACACAACAGCAAATCACAACTGGACAGAGAGATAGATGGAGTGCTGGAGCGCCTTGAGCATCATGCATGGTGGATATGTGCGCTATATAAATATCCAATATTATTATTATCATTAAAAACTGTATTTTTCTCTGAATGCTGCTCAGAGCAAGAAAAAACATCTAAACATTGTAATTCAGTAACAAGGACAGGGAGGGAGAGAAGGAAGGAAGGAAGGAAGGAAGGAGGAGTGGAGAGAAAGAGGGGGGAAGATGGAGGGAAAGAGGGACGAAGAGGGAGAACAAAAAGAAATAGGAAGAAGGGAGAGAAAAGGAAAAAGAAATTTACATAAAGAGTAATAAAGAGATAGGAGAAAGAGATAGGAGAGAGAGATGGAGAGAGAGAGAGAGAGAGAGATGGAGAAAGTGTTGGTTCTTGAGAAAGGATGGAAACGGATCATAGAAATATGGTCTTCCTAAACAAAAATCAATATATGAGAGATATATAAATACAACAAATAACATTTTGAAAATAGGTAAAAAAATGGTAGAATTAAATATATTTAGCACTTGATCAGCAGATGCTGAGAAAAAAAGAAAAATTTGGTAGATCCTTCTCAATCTATAAAGTGTTTCTGGGTTTCACTGCGATTGGGTTTTCAAGACATGTATCAATGAGATACGATTATACGTCTGGGAACTGACCTTTAACGTCACCATCCAAAAGATACTGATCAATCAGTTTTGAACCAGAGTTTGTCTGAGTCACTTTGTCGTTTGTAGGGGGAGGGTAAATGTGCCACAAGACCAACTTACATCTCTACAGTGTTAGATATTTGATATACTGCTGACTTAGCTTACCTGATGCATCTTGGGAGGACATCCAGCGATGCTTGCGGACTCCAAGCTATACTCATCACCCTTGTGCGATGGTGGAAGTCCCGTATATGCTGGTATTCACACCCACTTAGTGAGTTGTCTTGCTCCTGTAAGAAATTGTTTTTTATTTATTTGTCTCTTCCCAAGGACTCACCACCACTAATGGTCAAAGGCAAATGATACTTTCAAGATCACATACACGTATATGTACGTAAACAGACACTCCACAATTTAAAAATCCATCAATAGGAGAACCTGGAAGCTCAACTGCTGTCTCAGCATTCTTCCAGTATTTGCGGTTAAAAGGACAGGCAGAAGGATTGATTTGTTTAAACGAGGTGTATAGAGCGATTTCTTTGAAATTAAAGACCCCCACCCTAGTCAAAATGGACTGGCAGAACTTTTTTTTTTTATATACTCATCCACATCTTGGTATCTCCAAATCCGGCGCACGGCATGACCCCACAGACAATATCATCGGAACGGGTCTCCGAACTTTCTACGCCCTCTCTGGTACTGGTGCGTATACTGGTGGCCTCATCCCTACACTTGTTTCCCATCTGTGGAAAACCTTCTGCATCCCGAGAATGCTACATGGCTCGTCCACAACCAAGTTCACAAAATCAATGCTGCTGAAACTTGACAGGGCCCAATCACATCTCTTCAAACAGATATTAGGGGTGCCGAAGTCTGCTGCTGATGAGATTGTCTACCTGCTCACCAACCTCTTGCCAGTCTCAGTGCAAATTGATCTTGGTAGGCTCTTGCTTTTAGGTCAACTCATCAAGCTTGATCACAGCCGTTTTGAATTCAGAACATTCCTAGATGCCCTCAAAACGCATACACCCTCAATACTGGTCCTTCAAGAGGCATTGAGGAAGTATGATCTTCCAGACCTCCAAAGCCTCGTCTCGAACCCACCCCTCTACTCAACATGGAAAAGGATGATCAACTACAAAGTCATCCTGGTGGTAAAACACAATACTCTACAAGGAATCCGCTCTAAGTCCTCTCTCAAGTTCTGGATAAATATCACTCTACCCTCTGCAAATCTCCTATATCCAAAGAATGCATCATCTCCTCCCATCCGAAGAGCTCTTATAGTGAGAGCCCAATTACTCACATCCACTTACTTGACACAATGCCGTCTTTTCACGCTTAAGAAATCGCCTATCTCTACATGCCCCCTTTGTAAAACCAACGATGAGACAGTGGAGCACTTTGTTGGAGTCTGCTCATGCCTGGCTCATCTCCGTCAGGATTTCATCAGCAAAGTCAAGGAATGCCTCGTGGATTATCCCATCTGTCTAAACCTATATGTTGTTGATGACCCACAGCAATTTACTCCTGCTACTCTGTTACCCCTGCATCCATGCTTGCCTTCCGAAATTCATAATAACTTACTTCTACTATCGCTCTTTTTCCTACACAAAATTGATGCTTCTCGTTCTAAGACTCTCCAAAGCTCCTAACCGGTCGGATTATAAACATTTACTTTATTTGGACTCCAGGAATCTCCAAAACAGTGGAGGGATCAACTAAGAAGAAGGTGCAATTTTCTAGAAATCAAGTAGCTGTGGCGCTAAGTCGGAAATAACAAAACTGCTTGGCTCTACCGCCAAACGTTACATAACATTACAATAAGTAAGTTACAATCACAATACACAAATTCATCAAACATGCAAATAAATGAGAAAAGGAAAGAAAAGTCAAGAAGAAGAGATATTTCACGCAGAAATAGGAGGAGGAGGAGGAGGAGGAGGAGGAGGAGGAGGAGGAGGAGGAGGATGAGGACGGGGAGGAGGGAGGAGGAGGAGGAGGAGGAGGAGGAGGAGGAGGAGGAGGAGGAGGAGGAGGAGGAGGAGGAGGAGGAGGAAGAAGAAGAAGAAGAAGAAGAAGAAGAAGAAGAAGAAGAAGAAGAAGAAGAAGAAGAAGAAGAAGAAGAAGAAGAAGAAGAAGAAGAAGAAAAGAAGGAGAAGATAAGCAAAAGAAGGAGAAGAAAATCACGAAACACAATTATTAGTCACAAACACACGATCGAGTCATGAAAAAATTTTCACTTTCAAAAATATCATGCACACGCAAATTGCAATCACTAACATCAATAAGAATGAGTGGGACTGAACTCTAAATCACTTACCTGAAATCTGCATGTTCCAATGCTAACTCGCAGATCTCCCCCGAATGCAATAAGTGAAGAGGAGTGCTCAAAAGCTGAAAACTCTACACATGATACTGTATCTCTCGATTCGAAGCTGTAGCCATTTCTTTTCGATGGAGAACTCATCTTTTAAAATTTATTTTGAGTTTTGACTGAAGCGCCGACTACTTTTTTTCTGGCTCGTTCTTAGTAATGTTATTCTATGATGTTTATAATTCTAAAATAAATATTTATATGTATAATTTTTTTAGTTGAACTTAATATTTACAGTTAATTGTTTTTATTTAATTAAAAAACTAAATTTGAATCAATTATAAACAAAAATTATTGCAAATATAATCTGTTGTAGCTACAGAAATCTCACATGATCTAAGGCTAAGCATACCTAGCGCAGAGCGCAGACAGAGATAGAATCATAATTTCATTGACGTGAGGAACAGGGAGGTTACTGTTTGCCGGAGATTTGGACCCTATATTTCCTTCTTGACTGTAAAATTAAGAGGTCTGCAATGGCTTTAAGTGACGAAGATGTTCAGAAACAGGTTAGTTCTTATTTTTGCATGATTTGTACACCCTAAAAATATTGCAAGCAAAAACAGTAGAGTACAGAGAGAACTGCCTTAACTCAATATCTGGAATGGTCATGATGATGGTGGATGGTGGATGGAAAGAGAGAGAGAGAGAGAGAAAGGAAGAGAAGGTGGGCGGGGGAACAGGGAGAGATAGGGGAAAACAAATCGAATAAAAATTAACTGAAATTAGATGTAGATCTACATTTCAGTTTTCAACATTATTTAAATCAACTAACTTCTAATCTAACTTAGACCCTATCTAACTCTAAGCAACAAAAAAACGTTATCATATCAGTTGGGGCGCTGGTCCGAGAACAAGGATCGTCCGCATCAACAATGATTTCCTTGTAAAGGCGGACAAATCTCGTCTGAAAAAAATTAGGATCGTCGGCACAAATGCGGATGATCCTTGTTCACGATCCACACGCTGGCAATGCGAAAAACGGATTCTGCGATGATGCTCCATGATGCATTTCTCATTGTCAAATTTGATGCAGCACCGAGACTTTCATGTTATCGATAAATCCTCAGGAAGACGGACAACCAGGGCTGTGTCTCACGAAACCGTCATAAGTACAAGTTGAGCGACATCCCATTGAAACGTGTGTATTAAGTTTAACACACGTTTCAATGGGATGTCGCTCAACTTGTACTTATGACGGTTTCGCACTTTCATGAGACGCAGCCCTGTAAAACAAAAGTTCACTATGTAGATGGTGAACTGGTGGTATTTTAAAACGCATTGCCAGCGCGCGGATTGGGACCCCAACACCCGCAGAGCTGCCAACCAGTACGATTTGATCGTATTTCGTACAATTTTTAGAGGTTAATATGACAATGTCAATGCGATTTTTTTTTTTTTCTCCATAAAATATGATTTTCGAAAAAAAAAAAAAACCAGACCCTAAACAATTTTTTTTAAATATTTTTTTTTAATAAATATTTTATAAGTCCTCATTCTCGGACCTACTGATTATTGCTGGTCAAAAGACAAGAACTAGTCTATAGTACTATTGACTTCATATTTGTAGTTAGCAGTTATATCCCAATTAATTGTTAGTACAGTATTGGTCAATCAGCTTCATCACTGAATATCAGACTGTACAATGTGCAGTCCTAATTTCATCTTTTATTCATATTTTAGTGTTGATTTTTTTTATTCACTGTCGTTTGTTATGAAAGTAGATCTAGTCTAGTGTTACTGTAATAATGGCAAGACCATCTCCAATGGCATGTAGTTTACGCTTTATACAAATAATAATCTGACCTAATCATTCTCACAAATCCTATTACCGTAAACAAATTGCAACAGACCTCTAACATTAAATCTATCTTATGAATCTTTGTCATTGAGAAATGAGAATTTTGTTCATTTTCTATATGGGCAGATTTTTCTAACATCCTGTTTAATCTGTTACTATATTTACCTTTTTCATTTTTATTTTCAGTTAATTCAGACTAGATTTGAGTCTAACAAGGCACATCAAATTCACACAATTCAAATTGTAAAGAGTTTTGTAGACCTACATGTACATGTTTATGAATCAAACACTAAATGTACATGTATATTAGAGTCCGTCTGTACTAGTTTGGCCAGGGGGATTATCATTATAGCTAGCTCCCTGCAAGGTCACTGACAAGTGGTTGTCTCATCAAATCAGCTCTCAATTAACATAAGAAAAAGGGGATCATGGGGGACCAACAGGCATCGATAAGGCATTGTTTGCTATATAGAGGGAGCAAGTATAAGTAGTGCAGTGGGGCTTTAAGAAATGCAGAACTTTAAATCATTTTTCATTTTGTTTTTTCAGATCCAGCACATGATGGCTTTCATTGATCAAGAAGCCAAGGAGAAGGCAGAAGAGATCGATGCAAAGGTCAGTAGTCAGTACAGTCAAACCTGCTTTAGTGACCACCTGTATAGAAAGACCACCTGTCTACAAACACAACATTGTTTGTTTCCCTTGGAAATGGTTTCTTATTGAAACATGTACTAAAGGAACCTGTACATAAAGACCACTTGCATATAACAACCACTTTTCTTGTCTTCCTTGGGTGGTCTTTATAGACAGGTTTCACTGTATATGATTGAGAGGAGGGCAGGGAACGGATGTGAGAACAAATAACCCCCCCCCCCCCCCCCCCCACGCTCCCTCCCCTCCACCCTGAAGCTTGTTTAAGATTTTTGAGGATTCTTTCTACAATGTTCACTGTGATGTTAGCTAGGGGTTAGAAACTCTGCATTAACATACGGTACTGAAAATAAAGGGACTGGATCTAAACTAACATGAGTGAAGTCAAAACCAATCTTTTGTAGAATCAGGAAGTTGCAATGATTTTTTTTTCAGTCACATCCTCTTTCCTTCTCTCTATCTCTCTCGCTCTTTCTCTCTCTCTTTGTCACTCTCTCTCTCTCTTTCACTGTCTCTCTTTCTTTGTCTCTCTCTCTCTTTCTCTCTCACTCTTTGTCTCTCTGTCTCTCTTTCTCTGTCTCTCTTTTTTGTCTTTCTCTCTCTCTCTCTCTCTCTCTCTCTATCTCTTTGATAGAGAACATAAATCTCTCATCCATTTCTTCTTCTTTTCCCCCCTTTTTGTCTTTCTTCTTTTTTATTTACCCCCCCCCCCCCCTTTTTTGTTTTTGTTCCTTTCAATTTACATGTACACCTGTACTTGTGCAAAGTTTTTAATTTCTCTTTCTATATCCACCTAAACCAGTGTCCTTCTGTACAGGATGCACATGGGTCAAGCTCTGCCCTGACTATGTATTTAACTGCCCCCTCCACCACCACCACACTCAGAGGTGGATTTTCACCTTTTCGTCTTTTTGTTGTTGTCGTGTTTGCCAGAGAAACATGGAAAAGTGAGATAAATCAATGATTTTTGTTTTGCAGGGTAATGTACCCTTTGTGTAAGGGCTTTGAGCATATGTTGTGCATTGTAAACATCTGCATTATTATTAAATCTTAGTTGAAATGTTTATAATTTCTTTATTAAATATTCAACTTGCTAACTGATGATGCCTTTCATTTTTTGTTGGTATACAGGCAGAGGAAGAGTTCCAAATAGAGAAAGGTCGTCTAGTCCAGCAACAGAGGATAAAGATCACAGAGTTTTACAGCCGTAAAGAGAAAAATCTGGACCTCCAAAAGAAAATGTAAGAACCTTGAGTATATTATCAATTACCAAGATGTATTCAATTTACAAAGACAAATTTCCTTCATTTTACTTGTACATGTAGTGACCTGTGTTAAGCACATGGCGTCGGGCCTACTTACATGTACCTTGATTTCCTTATCTTTCTATGCTCATTACTCAGCCCCTATACATTTTCTACCAAATCGTTTGGCACATGTCATTTATTTGTAATCTCGAACATTCAGTGTAAGTTTTGTTTGATTTTGTGAGAATTTATTTTCTATCATTACCAGAACTCAAGCTTATCTTTAACCAATGTACATGTATGTCTTATCTTTGGTCTTTAGCCTCCAGTCCAACATGTTGAACCAGGCCAGACTGAAGGTGCTGAAATGCAGAGAGGACCATGTACAGGCTGCACTGGACATTACCAGAACTCAAGCTTATCTTTAACCAATGTGTCTTATCTTTGCTTTTTAGCCTCCAGTCCAACATGTTGAACCAGGCCAGACTGAAGGTGCTGAAATGCAGAGAGGACCATGTACAGGCTGCACTAGACATTACCAGAACTCAAACTTATCTTTAACCAATGTGTCTTATCTTTGCTTTTTAGCCTCCAGTCCAACATGTTGAACCAGGCCAGACTGAAGGTGCTGAAATGCAGAGAGGACCATGTACAGGCTGCACTGGATGAAGCCCAGGAGAGGCTTACAGAACTCACCAAGAACAAGACCAAGTACAAGCAGGTGCTCCAGGGCTTGATCACGCAAGGTCTCTTCCAGCTCCTAGAACCCAACGTCGTCATCCGCTGTAAGGAATGCGACGTCAGTCTGTGCAAGGTAAATACAGCGAAACCTGTCTATAAAGACCACCCAAGGGAGACAAGATAAGTGGTCTTTATAGGAAGGTGGTCTTGATGTACAGTTTCCTTTAGTACATGTTTCAATGAGAAACCATTTTCAAGGGAAACAAACAATGTGACCTTTACAGGTCTTTACAGGCAGGTGGTCTTTATGTACAGTTTCCTGTAGTATACTGTATGTTTCAAGGAGAAACCATTTTCAAATGTGGTCTTTATAGACAGGCGAGGCGGTCTTTGTAGACAGGTGGTCACGAAAGCTGGTTTGACTGTATCATGTATTTACACATATTTAGAGAATTCTTGGTTCAAGGACTTTGGAAAGAGAGCTTTATATAAGTTACTCTCTTGCTATTATGATTAATACGAATCTTAAAGATAAACTTGAGTTCTGGTAAAAAAAGAAAATGAATTCTCACAGAATCTAACAAAACTTACACTGAATGTTCAAGATTACAAATAAATGTCATGTGCCAAACAATTTTGGAAGAAAATGTATACTGGCTGAGTAATGAGCATAGAAAGATAAGGAAATCAGGGTAGTACTAGCCCCGACACCACGTGTGTTGTCCCATATACATCTATCTGTGTAAGTGATTGTTACTTTACCAAGACTCTGCCAAATTTATGATGATTTTGATGACTGTAGAACCTTGCATTACACACCATTACTTACATGCTATATGATCAACTTTTCAGATCCATTCCACACATTTCTTTCACAATGCAATCGCATTGTTTATCTTTAAATGAATAGAATGTGTTGTTAGCTGAAGGAATGTGATGTCAGTCAGTGTTGGGCAAATATCATGCATTTACAGTACCTGTTAAATAAGGTTCTTGGGGTATGCATGATGCCAAGCATGGGGGTTTCAGAAAGAGGAACACCACATATGCACTCTTTCTACACATAAAGCAGGGCTGGTATTCTGAAGATGAACAAAATTGTCTTTTTTATTAGTAAAAATTGTTAATGTCCATAGCAAATCAAACTAAGGATAAGTGATAATTTAATGTCTGCAAAAATGATGGCGTTTTTTACATTTAAAAGAAAGGAGATATATTCACAAGCACAATTGACAAGTGTAGTTCCACACGATTTCAGTTTGTTATGACAGTTAACATCTCTCCCTCTCTCCCTCTTCCTCCCTCTCCCTCTCTCTCTCTTTCTCCCTCCTCTCTCTCTCTTTCTCATTTATTCTGCTAGGAATGTGTTCCTGATTCAGTGAAGACTTACCGAGATTCTAGCAAGAAAGAGTGCAATGTCGTCGTAGATCAAGAGAACTACTTGTCCCCTGAGCTGTAAGTAATACCACTATATTAGGCCTAAAAAAAAAGTTGTACTGCCCTTTGCGACCGACCGAAAATTCTCGAAATCTACGGTCGGCTTTTTAATAAAAAAGAAAAAAAAAATTACCCGTTTTTTAGAGAAAAAAAAATATTAAAGCATTCGAAATTGAAAAATATCAGCCATAAGAGGGAGAAAAAAAAGAAGAAAAAAAAAATTATTAAAAAAAAAAAAATTTCCGACCTAGCGACCCAACTTTTGGCACCTAAAGGGCAATACAACATCTTTTTTTTTTAGGCCTTATCTTGGTGATCATATCCTTCAGCAGAAATTGCTCCATCATAGATACAGGGTTAGGATTGTAATAGGGTTTGAGGTTAGGTTAGGTTTAGGTTTGTTCCAATACGAAGAGCTAAACCACAGTGGTTCTTTTGTTAACTGTGGTTTGAGATTTTTTTTCAGGATTTATTTGTATGTTAGAGGGTAAGTACAGTAGAACGAATGTAATAACCGAGTCACTTTAATTTACCATTCTTCTTTTGTAAACGTGAATTGAGGCAGCTAGATTAATTTCCATTATTTTTACAATTGATTATGAATCATTCAATGGTTTCTATCTATCTCTATGGTACAGGAGTGGTGGAGTGGAGCTGTATACTCCAAGTGGAACAATTAAAGTTGAGAACACCCTGGAGAAGAGACTAGCTCTTACCAGCAGCCAGGTGAGTTGACCATTATATTGGGTAAAAAAATAATAATGTAAAGAACTGGGACCAGCAAAATTACCTGTTATATCTAGCATCTGTAATCTCAGAGCTCTTAACTCTTAACCCTTACTGTACTGGGGGGGGGCCTGGGAGGCCCCCCCCTCGACATTTTCGGAGATTGCGCCGCAACCGCTTGGTATTTTGAATTGTCGTTTCATGACTATTTTCCCTCAAGTCTTACGCACATTTTGATACCATTTTCGTCGAAATCGGATATACCTATAAGGCGTTACATAACAATTAGTATGCGCATGTCATCAAAAAAAAATGAAAATCGCATCAAAATTTGCATAAATTATCATTATTATTTACATTAAAGGTAAAGACCAGTATTGGTAACGCCCCAATTTCAAAAATGAAATGGAAGCTCTCATTACCAATCATGTGAAAGAATATGTTTTGACTAATACATGATGATAAAAAATTTGCCGGGAAACCGCCAACTAATTCATATATTTGGTAAATTTATTTCTCTCATGGTCGTGTGAGAGAGATAGGGTAGTCCCATATACATCTTTCTGTGTATAGTGCTTGTAACTTTACGAAGAATGGGCCAAATTTCTTATCATTTTGATGATTCCAGAACCTTGCAGATGCTAGATGCTAGATGATCAACCTTTTCTGATCGATTCCACAACGTTTCTTTCACAATGCAATCGCATGACCATTACTGGTCTTTACCTTTAAAATAACTTTTTTGTGTTAAAAAAGAAGTTTCATATGAATAATGAGTTTCAACATTCAAAAAGTGGAGTTTGACACGTTTTCGGTAAAATGCATAAAATTAGCGCATTTTGCATAATTAATTAGGCTAACGACAAAAATTTGCATATTCGGAAAAAACTAATTATACCATCTTGTTCCTTACGTAAATATCTACAAACATGCAAATTTTCGTGTTCATCGGACAATCGACGGCCGAGATCATAGGGGGGGGGCCTCCCAGGCCCCCCCCCCCAGTCAGTGGGTGCTCAAAATAGCCCAGTACAGTAAGGGTTAAGCTGCCCCCATGCAATTCACCCAGTGCCACAGTGCTAATCCCTATTGTGCCAGCCACTAATCTCCTGTGTGCCAAGTTAATTTAGGGTTGGTTCAAGTGCGTTTAGTTTAAATTGTTACTATGTTTGATCCACTATAACATCTCATCTGTATATTGTATTATAACGAATTTTACATTAAAGTTGTAGGAAATTTAACCCTCTTACTGTTGATACCAATATCATTTCATGAATCTGTAATTTTGGTAAAGTAAATAAGCTCTATCAGTGAGTTGTCAAACCAATCCGTTGTCTCATTTCCTGCACACAATCTGAGGGGCCATGATCAAAACTGACAAATTTGATGATAAAATATCGCAATTTTCTCAGGAAAATCCAATGTAACGGTATATGTGAAGCACGCAAAATCGAAACAACAATAAACCCCCTCCACAAATACAGTAAGCATTCATGCGTGCACGCAATGCGCATCGCACAATAGGCATAAACAATTAGCGTGTGTACTTATGCACGAAAATGTGTACGTGGCACGGGAGCGAATGAGAGTTTATGTGTGCATGGCAAGTCAACAGAAACCCGATTATGTGAGCGTGGCACGCCAGCGCATGCACAGAACAGTGTTCTTGGCACGATAAGAGTTAATAACAAACTTCCACTCTAATTTAAAGGTTATGCAAAGTTTTGGGAAATTTTTAAAATTGGATGGATAGTAATTCTTTAAAAATTGTAATATATTTGGATGCCCCTGTGGATGTATACTAAGTACTAGAAAAGTTAGCCCCTAAAACACTTCTGCTTTCAAGAAATATAATAATCAAAATATTGATTAAGGCCATTTCATGGTAGCTGCCAACCATGAAAATCTCAGAATATATAGTTCTAACATATAATTTCCAAACGGGAATAGCAAATCAATGGATTGTAGTCAAGAAACATTGTTTTAAAGCTAAAGTAATATCAGTCTTGAGAGGGAGCTATACAACATAAAGAGTTTATTGTTTACAATTTCATTACTTTAGACTCAATTTCAACAGCGACAAAGATCGCTGAATATTGTAAAATCGCATATGCTTCCAATGCGTTCATTTGAACCAAATTCATGACCCCATAGCAAAACTTTGTATTATATTTAATATTGAAGCAGTACCTGGTTTTGATTTTGTTTGTGTTTTTGTGTTTCTCTCATTTTTACAGATGCTTCCCGAGATCAGGAACAACATGTTCGGTGCAAACGCAAGCAGAAAATTCTTAGATTAAACCTCCAGGTCACCCTTCAAATATATATATCTAATAGAAGTCTATCGTAATGTTATCATTTTAGAAATTATATTATGATCTGTTCTTGTCTCTATGTTAATAGGTGTTAGGTTTGTAATAAATCATCTTATGTTAATGAGGTATAAAGTATTTGTATCAGGGTTCGGGTATTGGAGACTAATAAAAAGGGCTAATTTTCACTCTCTCCCTTTAAAAAGGGGTGTGAGAGAATTTTCTTTTGATATGAGGAACGGGGTTATACTCAAAGTTCTGGTGAGCGTTCATTGCGCTTGCTTTTCAATGTTTCACAAATTCAACATTCTTAGTCAGTGTTTCAAATACACAGATGAAGTTTATTAGTCTTTGTTGGCATTAATATTATTCTTGAGATGATTTTGTAACTGGAAATAATGGAAAACAAAGATCAGTTCCAAATATTGGACGAATTTGATAGATATGTAGTATACATTAAATACATTTACTGGCAATTCATACTACATGTACCCATGAATTCTGTCTTGTTCTTATTCACCGAAACATGGTGTCTGTAAAGTTAGATTGTTGGTTGATAAGGAATGTTTAATTAGTAGGGAAGCCATTTTTGAAAGGCACTTACAGTGTAGCTGATATCAGGTTTCATTCTGTACAGGATGAAGAGGGGAAGGGGAAGGGGGGGGGGGGGCTCCAACATCTCATGGTCTCTTTTCAGGCCAATGGAGTCAAGGCAAGTAGTCAAGTCAATTAGTCATGGACTATTAGGTAGTCATGTGGCCCAAGTTGAGGATGTAGTCGCATGGCATGATCATGTAGAAAGCAAGCAACTCTTGTTGCTTTTGCTATGGGATTATCGTATTGGGTTTAGATACCCCATGGTAGATGTGAGGTGCTTGGTATGGGATGGTCTCCTCCTTATATGGTAATGGTCTAATATGTAATTTGTGTGTACCAATTGTTCAGTATTGATATCGACAACATATTATGATATAGGGTAATTATATAATGTGCGAAAATTGCAATAATAGTACTATATTTGTTTTGAATGGTGAAGTTTGTACAGATGTGAACATCATTGAATACACACAGTGGTTTATTGTGATAACAGGGATATCCAAGTTACAGAAGCTATGCATCACTGCAGTGCAGAGTTTGCAGGTTGTTGTTGTTTAGCGAAGAATAACATATTGTCTGAATATTTCCTATTTGTTCAGAATGAAGATTGATAACATCACCTATCGATGACTATTCTGCTAAATATACGTTGGATAAAGCATGCTATCATTACCAATACCCACTTGTTAATAATAATAATAATAATAATGGTGGCTTCTTATATAGCGCACATGTCCGTCACGTTGTGACGCTCCTGGCGCTGCCCTGATTATTACCCTGGCTTTAGCAAGGCAGCCACTGCGGCGCACTAGCATTTCAAGGAATTAATGACTTTCATTTTCAATTTTACATAATGTTGCATGATCTATGAGTATGACTTTGTTTTCAAATAATTGTGTTTAACATTCCAGTGTTATTTCTTTATTTGAAATATGTTTCTATCACTGTATTACTAGTCCTAGTAGCTATACACTTTGTAAGGATTCTTCTTCTTTTCTTTTTTTATTTTTTTTATATGATTTGATTCGTCTTTGTCTCATTATCAGTTTGTCTTAAATTAGTTTAACACAGACTCAATATAATACCTTAAAGCCTATCTGGGGGGGGGGGGGTGTTTCATAAAGCTGTTCGTAAAGTTATGCATGACTTTACGATTTTACTGCAGAACAGTAATTTTTCAAGAGCTTCTCATAAGTAAAGGTAGCATAAATCTGTAATTTGCATTAACTCTTGTTTGAGTTGTAGGTTTTTAAATTGTCAGACTAATGTTGAAACCAGAATCGTGCCATTGTATCGTCTGGCATTGGAGTATTTTCTTTTCTTTGGAGGTTGTTATGTTAGGGTTGTTGATAATGATATGGTGTTCATATTTGTACATGTAAATGTATATTCCTCATATTAAAATACTGAAAGTATATATGATTTGATTCGTCTTTGTCTCATTATCAGTTTGTCTTAAATTAGTTTAACACAGACTCAATATAATACCTTAAAGCCTATGTGCACTAGTCACTGGCCAGGGGGGGGGGGGGGGGGTGTTTCATAAAGCTGTTCGTAAAGTTACGCATGACTTTACGAACGACTTGTACATGAAGTGCCAGATATGATGCCCAAAGTTTTTTCCTGATGTTTTAACAAGTGTGACTATATTTCAAATAACCTCAATTAAATTATAGCAAAAATCCCATTTGGCTTTTCATATTTAGGTCATTCTTAAAGTCATGCGTAACTTTACGAACAGCTTTATGAACCCCCCCCCCCCCCCCCCCCCCCCCCCCCCCGGAGGGTTTAGACCTCCATGCACTGACGGGTGGTTATCTCATCAATTAACATAAGAAAAAGGGGACCAATGGTCACCGCTTGGGCATTGTTTGCTACATAGAGGGCGCAAGTAGCTATAACTGGGTTTTCTCTCTGTACTCTCACCCCTATTTCTGTCATCTTTTTGTGTCCGTCTCTCTCTTTTCTTGCCTTATTTTTCTCTTCTCTTTCCTCTCTTCTTGCAATTGTCTTTCCTTTTCCTGGTTTTCATTTTTCTCTACTTCCATCTCTCTTGTATTTTCCCTGTATATCTTGATCTAATCAAATGTCTTTCAGCGAAGACAAACTTAAAAGCTTTTGCATGCAATTCTGCTTTTAGTTCCCGTGCAGTTTGATTTATGCTTTCTGTCAATTTTTGCAGTTCACTTTAACAAGTGCAAAATGAAAGCTTCAGTACGTCTTCATCCAAATCTATTTTTTCATTTTACAGTACAACTCATCTCTTTACAAATAACACAATTACAGCAAATTTTCATTATCATAATGTTTATTATATCATTTTTTCCTCAAAAAATACCGATTACAACAGAAGCTTGTATTTCGTTTAAATATAATAACATGCAAGTAAACCTCCACATTACATTATACTGTAGTATTAAACGGCAGCCACAGCGCTGACAAGAAGAACCAACAAATGGATAGGTTTAGGTAGTACTTTGATAACCCAGTAACAGTACATAACAGGAATATCCATGTAACAAATAACATCATCATAATAATACATATCAAATATATATCAATTTGAGAAAAAAATAATATAAATACAATATGCATTGGTTACATGGATACAATGATAAATTCTTTCTTCTGTTTTAGCATTCTCAAAATATTTACCAACCAGGCGTTTGTTAAAAAATATTACACTTTTGATTAATGGTAAACGACATTCAAAAGTTGTAAAATTTTCTTTGGATAAGCTTTGGAATAGCTTCAACCAGTTTTCTTTTATGTCCTGCAATTAAAACAGGATCTCCTTCTTTATTTGCTTCATTTTTCATGAGAATTCCAAAATTCGAAATTTCTTTTAATTTTCTTATTATGTTTACACATTCTTCTGTCACTTTAGTCAAGAATTAAGAGGCATAAATATGAATTATATCCAACAAAACATCACCAAAATATAATAATTTAGAGCAACTGTTACAAACTTATTACTTGACTCATATCATAGTAACCATACACTACATATCATATCAATTGATATTTTGATATTGATCATTTTAGTCTCAATTACAATACAATAACAAGGCTTTGGGTAGGGGGAACACAGATATATTGAAAACAATGCTCATACATTCAATAAACTTAATTTTTCTAACTGCACGATAATAAGCTTTTAGCTGCAATAATAAATTCCACATATCAATACAGCTTTCATAGATAAAACTTAATAATTAAAATAATGGATCAACATTACATAAAGAGCAGGAAACTGTGGTAAATTTGGGCATATATTGCTTTACTCTTTGTAAGATGAATGTATTTTGGGGGTAAAGGCTCATTTTCATTTGACCCAGTAAACCAACTAAAAAACTAATAGAAAATGAATACTATTAACTTTATAATGGGCCATACATTTCTGTATCTTATAAAATGAAGGTACATGTAAGCATGGATCTACTACGAAGTAGGTCCATGATGTACCTGTAAGTGAGTTTGCTAGGGGCAATTTTTGTTTTCTCACTCTGACTTGCCAATCCTTTATACATTAAATACATGTAGGTTACATTGTACAGCATTAGTTTACCGCATAATGTGTGAATGTGTCTGATATGAGTACTATCATATGAGCAGCATTATAAATGTACTTTTGGCAGCGTCTCTTTCAAGAAGAAACATTATAAAGCAACTTAGTGTCTATATGGTGTTCCAAGGAGGCCAATGATAGCATTTAAAAGATAAATCCTATAAAATTGGAAGGGCCTTATATAATATTGTAACAAAAATATAGTTACTTTACATCAAAATATATATTTCCACACTCAAAATAATAATAATAATAATAATGGATTCTTATATAGCGCACGTATCGACCTTGCAAGGTCCTCAAGGCGCTCCAACATTACCTGGCTATGCTAGGCTGCCAATTTCGATGCTCACAGCATTTCAAGGAATAAAAACTGAAGAAAAATATCAACAATTTCAATTAAAACAAAATAGAACAAAACAAATGAACAAAGAATAGAGTTAGACTCCTATAATTCTGTTTGAATATCTAAATGAAATAAAATCATATTGTTAACTGCCTGCACTAAAGCTATAACAGCTATGTATCATCAATTGCAGTAACAGCTTTCTTGCGGGAAGCCGAAAATTTGGCATGGAGACTATTAAAATAAGATTCACATCAATGTGTTTATTATCCTCACACTAACACATACGCCCTTATGTCACAGAAGAGAGTCGCATCTGCATGTATCACTGGCATGGGTTTCTCATTGAGGATCGGGACGCAAGTCCCATACTGTGCAAAATTGAACTTGATGCATTACCCATTTATTGCTATGGACAATTAATTCACTTTGCATCTGCAGCAAAAGGCCTTATGACAATGAAACGGAGAAAGCGAACATTATATATTTATGTACATACATTTTATGATAATGAGGGGTACATATTACATTCATTTACTGTAGCACCAATCAGCAAAAAATAAATAAAAATAAAAATAATAAAACGATGTAAGACACAACAATTTTTCTTGCGAGTATTTAAACTCGTCATATGATCTTTGGTGAATAAAACATGTATGAAAAATAAAAGTAGAATTATTCATTTGATCTGTTTTGTTTATGAACTTTATACATAATGATGCGAACTACAAATAAAAATGATACAACTGTATGTTTACTGGTACTTCATAAATGTTGTCTGTTCGGAGCCAGAGGGGCGTTTACTCTGTGTTACAGTATTTGAGTTAATCCCTACTGGCTGCAAAAAGATATGTGAAGCACTGAAGTTGAGAAAAGAATAAGAATATGAAGGAGGGAAAAGGGCAAGAATAAAAAATACAAAGAGAAAGAACAAGAATGAATGGAAAAGCAAGATGCAGATGAAGGGGTGGGGGGGAGAGGAAAAGAATGAAAAACGCACAGAGAAAGAATAAGATTGAAACGGAGGGTAAGATGATGGGGGAAGAGTCTCCTGATGGAAGAAAAATTGATGTTTACCGTGACAACGCACTGACAAGAAAACAACTTTCCATTCAGAAATACTGTTCATAAAATGGGATGCATTGTGGCATTATATACTTCACAAGACATAATATATTTTGCAAATAATAACATCTTATTTACATTTATTATATACAAATATACCACTGACCCATTATTGCTTTTTATCAATTATCAACTATTCTACTCTATAACCCTTTCTATTCTATTCTAATCATAACACTACACACGTTTAAAGATAAAGTTGAGTTCTGGTCATGCGATTGCATTGTGAAATTAATTTTCACCTCTACCCAGAACTCCACCTTCTCTTTAAATAGAGGCGTATTTTATATTAACTCATTTCCTATAGGACTGGGTGACTCCTGTATTTAAGCATATCGTCGGTGGGGTGACAAAACCTTGTATCTCAATTTTTTGAGATTTTGACTTTTTTGCATAATTGTGTACCTAATGACCTACGACACCACCTGATAAATCCATGGAACGCCTCCTGTCTCGGTTTTTTCACAAATTCCACACAAAGGACGGTGTCACAGCACTAAATCTGTGTTGAGACAGGACGGTTTTTACGCTCTCCTGAAAATTCATGATTTTTGAGATACGAGGTTTTGTCACCCCACCGACGATATGGGAATCAGAGAATTCAGTTGTTAATGTTTACTTGATAAGCGGGGGCCAAAATTAAAAGCTATATTGCTGTTACATCTTAAACCTCCATAAAAACCACCCTGATACAAGTGGTTTAACATGTAGTGTACCGTAGGCATTATATTGCATTTGGTATACTCTCTAGACACGTACGTCAAGGTTATATGTACTTTAAACACACACATACACACAAGATTACAGATAGTCTGTTGAGAGCCAGAAGGGTGTTAACTCTGTATTGAAGTACAAGTCGAACCTGCTTTAGTGACCACCTGTCTACAAAGACCACATCTTTAGATTCCCTTGAAAATGGTTTCTCATTGAAACATGTACTAAAGGAACCTGTACAGAAAGACCACCTGCCTATGGAGGCCACTTTTTGTCTCCCGTGGGTGGTCTTTATAGACAGGTTTGATTGTGTATGAGTGAGCGCCCTTCTGGCTCCGAACAGACCATATGAATACTGGGAATGATGGATGGCATGGACGGCATTAAGGTAGGATAGACGGAAAGGCGTCGGCAGTCGAGGTGGAACAGATAAAATCAATGTCTTATGAACTAAATTAAGACTCTCTGCCTACACACTACAACTCCAATCATTTGCATAACACGAATAAATCAAGCTCCTACAAACCATTCCGTTTTCTCTCTCCTCCTGTAGCCATAAATCCAAATCAATGTCGTACTGTACATTCACGACTGAGTTGTTAAAATGGATTTGATGCTAAATCCACATTACTAATGTTGGGTCTACATGCATGGATTAATAATGAGACCAACATGCAGTATTAATCATCAATACCCTCTACTGTCATACATTCAAAACTAAAGTCCCTTTCCCTCTTTGCCAAGCACTAACAATGTTTGAAATCATACAAATTAATTAAAATATTGCAGATTTTTCATCATCTGTGCAGCACGAGTACATACAATCAAATTGTCTTATTTGGTGCCCGAGATATTATTGGCACAGCACACATCAGATGAATAGATTATTTACTTCAAAGGTACGTTTGAAAACCTTATCATTGGTTCAGAGCTGGGACCCGTTTCACAAAGCCTTTTTTTCAATGACAAATGACTAAGATCAGTGACAAATCTGCTGATAACTAATCAGAAGCAAGGATTTCACTAGCTTATAACAAATACTGTCATTTGTCACTGATGACAAGTGTTGTGAAACGGAGCCCTGGAAAAGATTTAACTGTGTTAAAATACTGAAGTTAATGGCCCTTCTTGCTCCAAACACACATAATACTTGTTCAATAACTTACTGCATGGACAAGATCCCTGATCTCTTGCTTAAAATGATGAGATACACAGAACAATGAATGCTACTAATGATTTTAACAATGACCAATATAATTTATAGGCTCTAAAGAAATATTCATCTCAATAAATATCTTCAGCAGCCTACCCTGTCCTCGTTCGCTCTGCTCTTAGCAAAGAATACAAAGCTACAAATATTTCAGGTTTTAGATGGAACACTGTTTCGTGGAATCATTTCAGGATGATTTTCAGCCGTTGAATACCGGTATGGATAAATAACACAAAGGGTTGGATTTCACTTGTTTATGTAATATGTAATGTTCTAATGATAAAGGCTTGTTATCATATCTGAACGCACCTTTAATCCAATTTTCTTCTACATTTATGTAGCATTACTGGGGGGTGTGTTTCGCAAAGACTAAGATTGACTTTAAGTTGGACGTAAATATGGCAGGCCATTCATGCCAATGGTTGACCTCACCATTGGTCTCCCAATTATGATCTTTAGATAATATTTTTCCTTCAAATAATGTAAGTTTTGTAGATTAGTGAACATGATTTGTACGTCCCTTGAGAAACCATTTCGAATGGTCAGAGGAACTAGTGGCACTAACGGCCTGCCATAGTTCAGTCCAACTTAAAGTCGATCTTAGTCTTTGTTGAACACCCCCCTGGTCTATCTAACACTTCAACAAATGTCAATAGACAGACTAAGAGAAGGAACTCGTCTGTTGCGAGTCAGAGATATGTTTCCTTGAGTAGAAGGATGATGAACTAATGCCCTTCTACACAGTAGCTACCAACAGACAATATTACTTGTGAATATAATATGTTGTAGTCTACAATGTATGTTGCTAAATGAGGTACATAAAGGTACGCATGACTTTACAGGAATGATGGAACAAAATACCTTGCAAAAGTAGTCTATACATGGACACTGATAGTCCCTCTCATCTACCAATTCTTTGTAGATGCCTTACTTCTTCTACTACATATTATTCAGTCAATGACGCACAAATAAATGCAGCAATGAGTAAGAGACATGTGCGTGTACTGTATGTCTTAACATTTTATCCATTTTTTTTTCTTTCTTTTTTTCTTTTTATTTGATGGTGTTAATGATGATTAGTTTTCAGGGATACCAGTTGATTTGACCTGACCAGCCTGAAAAGTGACCCAGAAATATTGGATCGGCATATACCAGTATTCAGTCCGATAAAAAGTCGGAAAAGTTCTGCTTAGACAAGTAGCAGAGCCTAAAATCAGACAAAAACCTACAAACTGGCATCCCGTAGTGAAGGTACTGTTAATAACAATAAAAAAGTGCAGGTACTGGAAAGCATTTGGCAATTAGTTGATCAACATTGGACCTTTCATTTCACACATTAAAATGTTATGCATGCAAGTCAGTGATCTGTACTGTTTCTTGAAGCACTGTGAACTAAATCAATTTAAAAAAAACTGTTATCAAGCATGAACATAAAAATTATACCAACAAAATAGAAAATAATAAAATCATTAAAATTAAATAATGAGTTGCACAAAATTCAACCAGTTTTGTCAAATTTCAATTGTGTATTGTGGATGGGTTACAGAATGACAGGGTAAAAAATCAGAGCTTTGTCATGAGGATGACTTTTCAAATAATTGTATCAACATCAATCCTTTTTTTGTTTCCTTTTTTTTTCAAAGAGGTCAGGGGGGGAAATTGCCCTCATCCATAGACTTTGTATTTTATTTCTATTTCTTAATTATTATATTTTTTCCCCTAAAGGACCATGTACTATTAAAGGATGGATACAATCTATGGATTGCATGCAATTCTGTTTGTGTTAGGTTAGATTAACTGTTTAAAATCAACCATCACAGTCACAATCGACTTCTAAATCTACATGCACCATGTTTCTAGTTCTACTATCTACTTGGAGAGAAAATTTGGTTGAAATGTTCAGTCCCACATTACATGCATAACATCTGTGTTAGTATCCTACTTCTAATTGCATTCTAAATGAATGTCATGCTTATTCATGCATCAACTCTGCATAGATGATACAACTGACATGGAAGGGATGGCATTTATGCTAATTAGGCTCACCAAATACAGTCAAAGCTGCTTTAGTGACCACCTGTATAGAAAGACCACATTTTGTGTTTCCCTTGAAAATGGTTTCTCATTGAAACATGTAGTTAAGGAACCTGTACTTGAAGACTACCTGCCTATAAAGGCCACTTTTCTTGTCTCCCTTGAGCGGTCTTTATAGACAGGTTTCACTGTATTACGACCTGTTGAGAGCCAGTAAGGCATTGATAGACTGTGTTTAATATGGATCAATGCCCCGCTCGCTCTAAGCAGATTAATTGGTAGATGATTATGGTATAATGAAATCACACACGTTTAAAATCATGGCTCTGGGCCCCGTTTCGTCCAACTTCTTATCAATAACAAGTGACTCATTTCTATAACAAATTTGCTCTCAGCCAATCAAATGCAATGATTTCAGGAGCTTATAACAAAAGTTTTATGAAACAGGACCCAGGGTCTCGCCACACATCACAGACAATAAAGTATAATTGCACCGAACAACTTGCCTTTCACCTGGCTTCACAATCAGATTTTGATTCCATTTAGTAGTTTCTCATTGAAACATATACTAAATGAACCGGTACATAGAGACCTTTGCCTACAGCGGTCTTTAAGTACAGGTTTCACTGTAATACTGTCTTATAGTCAAACCTGCTTCAGTGATAACCTGTACAGAAAGACCACAGAAGAGTTTCTCATTAAAACCTGCATAAAGGACATCAAAGACTGCTTTTCTTGTCTCCCTTGAGCGGCCTTTATATACAGGTTTCACTGTAATAATAACTGTTTCTTATGACTGAACACTCGATTGACTGCAGCATGACAGGTGCAGATACAATCAATGCTAGCTAGCACACTCAAAGGAACTCAATTGAGATGTAGGTGTCCAGGGACCAGTTTCACAAAGCCTTTTTGCAATGACAAATGACAAAAATCAGTGAAAAATCTGTTGATAACCAATCAGAAGCAAGGATTTCCGTAGCTTATAACAAAAATTGTAATTTGTTACTGATGACAAGTTTTGTGAAACGGGCCCCTGGAGCAACATTACAATCATACATGAAGCCGACACTGAAGCAAGGTGAGGCGATGATGACATTGACACAACCTTTGACCTTCCTCACGACGTCAGTGCATTGAAGTGATCGATCATGTACTCGCCAACACCGAAGTAATAGACCGCCTGGGCGATGCCGAAGAGAGGCGCGATGACGAGGATTCGGCAGGTGGCGCCTTTGAAGAATGCCTGAGGTCCCTCGTGCTTCAGGATCTTTGTGAAACAGTCCCTGACTCCGGTGTAGGTTTCCTCTCCCTCTGCATGCTCTAAGAGTTGGAGTCTGGTCTTTATTACTGTAACAAGATAAGTAGAGGTAATAATAATAATAATAATATGGAATATCTAGGAGGGCTAACAACAATAAGTATTGCACAGTGTTTTAATACAGATAAATATATATGAAAAGAGGACAATTTACAGTCTCACAGGAAGTAGATAACTGGGGAAAAGGTAAGTTTTGAGGGATCTTTTGAAGGTGGCAAGATGGGTAATTTCCCTTATAGAAAGGGGGATGTTGTTCCAAGTCTTTCATAGAGCAACACGTTTTTGCAGAATAAAGAATAATCACTATTCATGTCTTATGGCCTCAAAATTAAAGCTCTAATTTGATGTATGATGGCACACTTATTGAAAACCCAAGTGATTTCAAATACACCCAATGGATTAGAACTAAAGATGATCATTGAACTCTCTTTGTTCTTGTCACAGTTTACTTTGATACACAGTTAATAATGAGTCTTCAGCTCATGTCCAATACATAAGGCAATAATGGAAATTATGAAGTACTGTTTCATGTACGTATGCAGGATAGATGATATCTGATGGTTACATTAAGATACATACAAATACTGTATTTTGCTGTTTTAAGTACATGAGAGAGAGAGTGTGTCAGAGACAAAGGGACAGAGAGAGAGAGAGAGAGAGAGAGAGAGAGAAGAGAGAAGAGAGAGAGAGAGTTCTACATGTAGATTAGTGCATGCAGCAAAGGGCAGCAAAACATCAGACCGTAACATGAGCATTTGTTGGGAAAACAAAAACACTTCGTAAGCAGATAGGAATGTTTTAGAGCAGTACACGGATACTGGAAACTTATTCAGAGAAATTCTAGATTCAAATACATGCAAATACAGTCAAACTATGATGACCGTCTGTAAAAATGTGTTATATAATTTCAGCACTTCATATTAATGACAATTATATAATACGGGGCCCAGATTAACATTTGAGAGATAGTGTTCACAAGAAATGAAAATATGGTCTCTATAGACAGGTGATCTTTTTATACAGGTGGTCAATATGGCAGGTGTAACTGTAATAATAATACAATGAGACCTGTCATATAGGCCACCTCTCTACAGTGGACATATATTTTGTCTCCTTCAAGAAAGAAACGTGTATTGTAGAACCTGTTTAGAAAGGCCACCTATCTACAGTGGCCGATTTCTGCATTTCTTACGAGTGGCCTTAATAGACAGGTTTGACTGTATATGATTAAGAAAGTGTAGCCTACACCTGTCTAGAAAGACCAACTGTCTACAGTGGACATATATTTTGTCTCATTCGAGAGAGAAACGTGTATTGTAGAACCTGTCTACAGTGGCCAATTTCTCTGGTTCATATGAGTGACCTTACTAGACAGGTTTGACTGTATAAGATTTAAGAAAGTGTAAGCCTACCATCTACAGGGTTGACGGACACTGCAGCTGTTGTGGCAGCTATACTGCCCGATACGAATGTGTGTAAGAAACTAGCTCTCCGTGTCTCCTCTGACTGGAAGCCCTGCAAAACAAAACAAATGAAAGATCACAATTAAAAATGTATGAAGTATTCAGGACTACACACACTCAGGAAAGAAAGATTACTGACAGTCCTTTGCAGGACTCCCCAATCCTCCCTCTCTCTCTCTCACATGATGCAACCGTAAACCTACTGTATATCTACATCACCATGCAAGGCTATACATATAAAGCAGCATCTAAGTATGAAGTTTGTTATCGACGAACGGAATGGTAAAGTACAAAGGAGCAGAGATAGAATGGCTCTGAAAAGCTCAAAAACAGGTGGTCAATAAAGCAGGTTTGACTGTAAATCACACATCAAAATCTCTTACAGGGTTGTGGGGGGGAGGGGGAGGGGGAGGGGGAGGGGGAGGGGGAGTTGGAAGGGGAGGGGAGGGGGAGTTGGAAGGGGTAGGGAAGGGGTAAGGAAGGGGTAGGGGAGAGGAGAGAGAGGAGGGAGGGGGAGGGGAAGGGGGAGGTTCTAAGTGGTTAGCTTCTAATGATTGACATAACAGTCCTACTATATCTTACCAAAGCATTGAGATGTGCAAAGAATGGAAAGTAGATCATTGAGAAGGGTATATCCCTCATCAGTGTTGCCCCTAGACCTTGATACAGACCAAAGAACCCTTTAGTCTGGATCAGGTCCCGGGCGATGGCTAGACCGGATGATGGGACGGTGCGTGTGTTGGCTGAGTAGGACCGGGCTAGGACGGGGTTGAGTTTGCCTGAGGTGGTGAGATCGTTGACGGAAACGGAGCCGACGCCGTTTGGCTTGAGGAGCAGGGCTTCTGTGGTGAATGAAAGGATGGAAACTTGCTAGACTTTGATTGGAAAATGCCAGAACAACAAAGAATAACGTGACAAACCACATCCTGCGACCCATTTCACAAAGCATTTTTTCAATGACAAAAATCAGTGACAAATCTGCTGATAACCAATCAGAAGCAAGGATTTCACTAGCTTTATAACAAAAACTGTCTTTTGTCACTGATGATAAGTGTTGTGAAACATCCCCTTAATCATTATTATTGGATATGATAATAATAGTGGGTTCTTGTATAGCGCTCTATCTGTCAGACTTGGCACACCTGGCACTCCACAATTATTACCTCAGCTTTACAAAGAGTTGATATCAATTGCAACTTATTTGCCATTGATATCAATCGCAGCTATGTACATAAGAGATAGGAGACTGCAAACTTGCGATTGATTTGGATGAATCGCAACTCTTTGTAAGACGGGACCCTGGTGCTTCACAATTATTACTCTAGCTTTGCCATGGCTACCATGGTGGCACTCTAGTACTTTAAATTAATTCCTGTCAGGTACCCATTTACCTCACCTGGGTCAACCGTGGCAAACGTGGATAAATGTTGGTGACTTACATGTATCCCTTATACCATGAGACATAATGTACATATAGCAAACAGAAAGTACTTCATTTCGGGTTCAAATTCAAATTTAAATTTTGTTTCAATGCCTGCAGGGGAGTTTTCACACTTTCCAATTGACACCTTATAAAGTTCAAGCCTCTTTCTACTGAAACCATATAAGATATGAATAATTGACTTCAATGAGATGGGCCTAACCCACACCACCTGAGGTATCCCCCTATGGCGACGTCAGGGAGGTGTTTTTCTCACACCTCGACCTGATCGACTCATCTACATGTACCTTACAGCTAAAACACTGCTTGCTCTCACCATAACTCATTTATTCTTTCTTTCAATATTTCAGTCACTCTTTCTTTCTATCTTTTGTTCTATACACCTGTATTTCTTTCTTTATTTATCTATCTAGTTACAAATCCCACACATTTTATGTAAATTCGTCTTTTTCGAACTCCACTTTTTGAATCAAAATAAAATATTCTGAGTTTCCTGAAAATTCTATGATTTCGAGCTCCAGACTTGGGATTTTTTATGCCCAAATGTCCCGGCACCTGTTAGTATTGAGCTTCATGTAAAGGCTTGTTCACATACCATGTCGCAGGAAACCACAACAGTTTAATACTTAGGAGGGAAGAGCATACTGCGGATCACATTTTTATTTCTTTTACCGCACTGTAGAAATAAAGTTATAAGTTGATAGTGGCAGTAGTATTTTGCAAAGTAAGAAGATACTGGTACCCATATCCGTTCCAAATTAAATGGGTATCAATAACAATTTGCATTTAGATGGAGACTCAATACATTTGTTACTTTTGCTAGTCCTTTTACAAATTTCTATACAAAAGTAATCACCAAACACAGCAGATGGTGATGGGGGGGGGGGGGGGGGGGGGGGGGGGAGGTACCGGTAATATGAACTTTGCTTATTTGTATCATGCAACAGATGTCATGTCATTCTAAAATTGGACATTGGGTCAGAACTGGATAGAACTGGATTTTATCACAAGCCAAGTGCATTCCGTAACTATTCTACGGTCCACATTAACATGATTCTACTATTGCAACTTTGGGACTTTAGTCAATGCTAATGCGTATCAACCTCTAGCACTGCACTACGTGCTTATAGGCAGCAATTGAACACATGAATAGTCAATACACGAATAACACACAAATGCACACAATGGTGCCGATGTGGCTTTAAGCAAGTTTGACAGTAGACTCTTGATTTGAATTTTTAATTATTCTTTCTAACATCGGTGAGTTGAAAAAAATGGTATTTTACTGCTATTTGGGTGTCATCAATTGTCACTAAGGTACCGATTTTTAGTGAAATCGGTTTAGTTTTGTACAGTGGTGTTTGAAATGTTGAGAATCAATAGAACAGGTTTTAATACACAGCCAGGATAGTAATGCAGCTATGTGTGATTCCAATCAGCTCACCTAGTTTCATATTACTCTTCGTCCATGATTCCCATCAGAAACTCTATCTCTACAACAAGCTGCCCTCTTATACAGAGGGAATAGGGTAGCAGCTGTTACTATCACTGCCCTCACTCCCTCTGGAAAAAATACCCTTCTGTATTTTGACATCCAATGAACCGCCATATTTCCAGAGGGAGGAAGATCACCGTTGGTCAAATCCAGAGTACTGATATCCATGTTCATGTGTCTGTCTCATGCTTTAACAATGGATGGAGCTTTAGAATTTTCACTTAAATAATCAGAACATAAATCGCAAGTTTTGTTCAAGACTACACAAGAACATTATCATATTCTTTGCATCATATAACCCTGTTGGGAATGACCAACCATTTAGACACTATACGGTCCATATGCTACAAAAATTCCAACCCAACACCGGGTTTATGCTTTCGTTCAAAATCAGGTATAGCAAAACAGAAGTTAGTCTAAGGTTTAATGTTTTCCTTCTTCTGAATGAGATCTTAGACCCTGGTTGTGTTCAGCTGAATTTGTAGAACATGCAACAAACACGACGTATGCAATCCACATGCCAGATAGTGTGAAATTTTGCAGCATTGGAAGCTATGTTACTAATGCAGTTATAAACATCACATTGTACAAACCAAAGCAACTTTGACAAATGTATTAAACAAGTCAAAACCCCCTGCACACATAAATCCCATAGATCATTAATAAATCCACCAAAGGGTGTTTTACTAGTTACCCTCCCTCCCACTGATACTTACTTTTATGACCTGCATCATGTAGCTGTATTTTGAGCATTTCCTCAGGGGTGGTGATTATCACCTGGCAACACCCTTATGATTATAGTGAGTATATTTGTTAACCTCCCTCCCTCTGGTACTTACTTTTACGACCTGCATCTTGAAGCTGTATTTTGAGCATTTCCATAGGGGTGGTGATTATCACCTGGCAACACCCTTATGATTATAGTGAGTATATTTGTTAATCTCCCTCCCTCTGGTACTTACTTTTACGACCTGCATCTTGAAGCTGTATTTTGAGCATTTCCATAGGGGTGGTGATTATCACCTGGCAAAACCCTGCACCTCCTCCAGCAATGGTCTCTCGATAGAGTGGCAAGTGCCCACTGTACAGAAAGAAAGAGGGACAGAGACAGAGAGAAAGAGAGAGAGAGAAAGAGAAAGAGAGAGACAGAGAGACAGAGTAAGAGACAAAGAGAGTAAGAGACAAAGAGAGAGAGACAGACAGAAAGAGACAGAGAGAAAGACAAAGAGAAAAAGAGAGAGAGACAGAAACAGAGAAGATAATATTACTGAATTCATTTCACTCTTACATGTATAATTTCTACATTACATAAGAATCTTCAGTGTTAGATGGGAGATAGGCAGAATAATTGTGCTTTCAAAATCGTGCACAAGTACGGCAAGATTAAGCCAGAGTACTTTTTTTTTTAATAATGCGCAAGCTCTTGAGTTTGGGGGGCCAAAGACGTGATAACACACTCCCAGTGATCCTGTTCAAGTGTAAAATATGCGAGAACATTTCCCTGACGTGAATTTACGACCATGGGATTCAAGCTCAGACACCAAGACATGTGAGAATGTAGGATTCTAAGAATTGACGACGGAATAGACTCCTACTTGCTTATGAATTATTTGTTGACGTCTCTTCATGACTTTCTCAGCAATAAACAAATTTATACTGTGTAGATGACAATTTTTCATTTTAATCTTTCATTAACTACACAAACAAAAGGAATCTGGTTTACATGTATAGGTGCATTAAGACTCATTAACTCTTAAGTCACCAAAAATCAGAAAAAGCATGGGCCCTAACGTGGTTCCCTGTGGGATGCCACTTGATAATTCCCGCAAGGGAGAGTTGTATGTACTCTGTACTTTAAAACTTAATGCTGAGTGCATAGGTAGGTATGTCTGGAAAACTTTTGATCATTATTATGCCAATTATAAATAGATTACTCTCTTCACCTATTTCATTGACACTAAGCCAAAAAGTGGGGAAGTTATCAATCAATGTACAAGTTAAATTTGATAAACAGATTCATTTCAAGCTTTGTTTTAAACTGTTCTATAGGATGAAAAGTTTCAGATAAATATAGAAGGAAGCGAGTTCTGGGGAATGGGTGCAGATATGGCAAAGGACAAACATGTATAAAGTGTAAAATGTAAGACCATTCTCGTCCTCGGCACAACCACTCTAGTGACCTCCGATAACCTAAAATGATCTTATGGGCCGAGTCACTACACCGTCTAAGGAAGGTTGACAGTCGTCAGAAAAACCTTATGTACTGGTAGCCAATGCATTTGGCAAAGGTTAGGACTTATTGGATGGAGTAAATTTAGGTTTAGAGGTGGTAGCTTGACAGTATATTGTAGCAAAGTGGAAACAGCTGATCGACATTTAATCCTGGGAGAGGAACTTCTCGCATCCAATTGATATAGTTTCTTTAAGAGCCTGTGTCACTATTAAATAGCTGGCTGGAGTGGAGGTCCTTCAGATCATGTACATTTGCTGGTAGGACTATGACATTTTGGAGTAAGCTTAGGCTAAGAAGGGGTAGTTTCAAAGTGGATACAGCTGATCAACATTTACATCTGGGAGAGAAACTTGTATCCAATTGATAAAAGTTTCTTTATGAGCCTATGTCACTAATAGATGGCTGGAGGTCCTTCAGATCATGTACGTTTGCTGGTAGGACTATGACATTTTGGAGTAAGTTTAGGCTAAGAAGGGGTAGTTTCAAAGTGGATACAGCTGATCAACATTTGCACCTGGGAGAGGAACTTCTCGTATCCAATTTTATAGTTTCTTTACGAGTCTGTGCCACTTAACTTAGCCATGAGTTCTTTAAGTCTTGTATAGCTTGCTGGTAGTATATGTACATTATTCCCATTACACAAGGTTACGCAAAGATGCCCTTTTTTCAAAGGATGTTGCCCTCCAGGATTTAGGGTGATCGACAACAGGTTCAAACATGGATCAGTGACAGCTTTGAATTTTTATTGTACATGTACATGTATAGGTTTTAAAATCAATAACTGTTATAAGCTACTGAAAATTAAGGCATTTGATTGGCTGAGAGCAAATTTGTCATAGAAATTTGGCATTTTTTATTGATAAAAAGCTTTATGAAACCATCAGGGTCATCATCCCCACAAGTTAAGAGACACCTGGAGAGTTAATGTGCACTTTTGATGGGATAAAAGTAATTTTAAAAAATATGTACTTTTTACTTCAGCTGCTGAGATGATTATGATATTCTGCAGGTCCTGACTGAAGTTGATACAAGCTCTAGTAGTTTTATTGAACAGTGAAAAGCATGGTTTGCGGTTTATGTCACGGCACGGCACTAATATCTTTTGGCAAGATATTAATCTATATTTGCCACACTGCACCCAGGTGCAGTAAATGGGTAACCAGTAGGAAGAAATTCCTTGAATGCTTGAGCACCTTTTATGGTAGCTGGGCTAAAGCCGGGGTAATGATATGATTGCAGGGCCCTCAGGGAGAACAGTATTAAAACTAATGAGGCTACCCTGGGTAAACAAGACATATTATTATCATTATTATTACAGTAATCAGATGTACTACAATCTCAGATGTAGCCAAGATTGGACAAAATAATTTAGAACTGGCCCATGAACCTTGTACATAAAGTGCGTCCCAGAAAAAAACGAAACCAATAATTATCAATGTTTTATCATAACTTTCACAATTATAATTGATAAATGACACAAGTTTGTAAAGCTTAGATGCTCCTCTTTCATTTGATACAAGTCATATGATACATATTTCCTGCATGAATGATTAAAAACAATTTGACACACTGTACATGTACAGTATGTAGGGATTTTTTTTCTTAAATCAATTTTTCCTGGAAGTAAAGCTACACATGTAGACATAGCAGCAATGGGATGAGTATTTTGATCAATGGGCAGGGGGTAATTGCCGTGTCACTTGATGCAATAGTAATGGGTTCAGTCAAATGTGAAAGTTATAGTAGCAGCTCCCGAGTCTATCTCTTGGATGTTAATTAATAGTACACCATGCAATGGCTTGAATGAATGGGCTAAGAGGTGCAAAGGGATCTCTCCAACGTCACACACCGAGGTAAATAAGGAGCAATCACTTGTATACAAACATCTAAAGGAATCTCTACTCATAACGCAAAGGTAAATACTGTACACTGTACAGAGCACTAAAGATGTATATACGGTAGTGCCTATCTATTCTACATGTATGTTGACAAGACAATTTTATGAAATCTTGTAACATTTCTCAAAAATAAAACATACAGTCGTAGCAAGAAATATTAAATGATCTCCTTGACAAGAGGTTTTAAGGGACACATTCACACTTAAATTTAAGCCTGCTTACATACATGTTAGTATGAAAGTGACCTCCTAAATGTAGCTACTCTGGCTTCTTTGTGAAACCACCAGAAAGTTGAGCTTGCTTCAATGTCTAGCAATCAACTTTGATGCTTCACTGTGAAATAATGCAGAAGATGAATTGTCTTGGGATATTAATGTTTCATGATTGATGTGCACCTTCGACTCTAAAGTAATTTTAAGTCCAATAAAAAATGACTAAACTCATTATTGTCCAATACAAACATTTCCATTTCTTTTTATCTGCAAGTAAAATAAGACAGCAAGGGGAAAGCAGTTTAGGCATAGCATACACGTACATCCAAATTTTAAACGTTTTTTTTTTTTTGGGGGGGGTTCCGACAGATCAATATCTACTTCAGGAAATTAAACTTTTGTCCAATGATAAAGCAGTGATAAAAAAACTTGGCTCAATTCTGTCAGAGAATTGCAAGGCACTATTAAAGTCACATACTACAAATGGCACTTGAGACACACTTGATTTATTTACAATAAGCCATCAAAACTCAAATCTCATTTCATCACCTGTTAAATGCCAAATGGCCTTTTAACCCTTTCAAGGCAATCATTCCACATTTTGTGGTTTGGCTCGATAAATTTTTATTCAGAGCCCTAAAAAATAAATAATAATATAATAATAAAAACATTACTTATAAAGCGCTTACCACCGAAGTCTCTAAGTGCTATAAATACACCTGATGCATTGGTAGAAAAAGCCAAATTCTCTGTACAATATATATTAATTTTTGTTTCATGACTACATGTACATGTACATGTACATGTATATTGCGTGTGATACCAGGGAAAAAAGGCTATACAATCCTTAAATTGGCAACACTTTGAGAGATTCAAAATCATTGTTTTTCAATCAATCTCCACTATTTTTCAACTTTTTCACAATCTTGCAAATGCTAAATGTTTTCAGAGACATTACATTTTATTTTAAAGTGGTAGCAATAAAAGTCAATATAATTGCTGCCAATTTGAAGAATGATATGTGATCGATTTAGTCCTAAAGATAAATCCTGTCCTGAAATAGTTGGAAAATATGATGAGAAAAGTAATTATGGTAGGGCTGTATGGAGATCATCTCTCTCTCTCTCTCACAGTAATTTACTGGTACTGCGCCTTATTGAATATTCTGACATAATCTCACGAGGGTTGTGACGTCTCAATTACCCGCGCTACGTAAATCTTTTATAGATGCATACGTGTAATTAGTTTCAACGACCGCTTCATACAGAATGGTTACACGTGGGAGGGAATAAACAAGCTGGAGGCAATATTTCGATGGGAGAAAACCGGAAGAGGAAGAGAGGGAAAGACAACACAGAGAGGGCAGAAGACTCATAGAGAGAGAAGTATTAAAGATAAAAGAAAGAAATTACGTGGCGGAAAAAAAAGAGAACAATAATAGAATGATAAGTGAATGAGTGTGAGTGAGGGACAGAGAGAGAGGGAGGGGGAGAGAGGGAGGGAGAGAGAGAGAGGGAGGGAGAGAGAGAGAGAGAGGGGGAGAGAGGGAGAGAGATCAATACACATGTCTTGAATTAGAAGTAAGAGAGGCAACCCTGAATATCACGAGATGGAAATAACAAGCAAACAGAATCGCTCACTTCCGGTGAAAGCAAGCACATGCGCCGATCGATAAAGTGCAGCTTTGAACCATTACCAATCACGCGCCAAACGACACAAGCAAAGAGGAGGAGGATGA